GGTTCTGCACTCAAACAGGCTGGTCGTCATCTTCTTTGTTGGTCTTGGTGTTCTGTCTCTCAGGTGGAATCTCAGACGTCTGCCACTCGAACGAGACAAACGACGGCCGATTCTCCATGTTGTTGGTCCCCCCTCCCTCCTCATCCCCCCTCTGATCCCCCTGCCCCTCCCCAAGTTGCTGCTGGGGCTGCTCGAATGGCGCGAAGGCTCCGCTGCTCGACAAGAGGACATTGCTGCTTCGCGACTGGCTCCGGTGGGACTGGCGAGAGACGCGCCTGCTGCCCCGTCGTGAGGAGGGGAGGAACTTCTTGTTGTCCTTTATGAACCGCTTGGCGCCGCACTCGGGTGAGAAGTAGAGTGTGGATGTGAGCAGCCGGATGCAGACGGTGTCGGAGGGGTTGGTCACGCCGCCGCTGTTCCAGGTCAGGAAGAAGAACCACGTGCAGGAGGGCTGAACCTCACCCTCAGCCACTGCAGCATACACAACGGAGCGGTGTCGTCCTCGGTGTCTCGTCTCTCTCTCACTCTCTTTCTCTCTCTTTCTTTGTGTCGACCTGTCTGGCTGTACTTCTCGATGGTGATGATTTCATTGAAGGGGACCATTCTCGTCTTGGCGACGAATCTGAGGATGTACTTTCGCTTCTCGACGTCCCTCGTCAGTGTGAGGGGTATGCGGATAACGAACCACACCCAGAAGGGGACGAATGGGATGATGCACACCATGGCAAGGGGGTTGTCCGTCACCATCCACAGCGACACTATCAGGCCGATTGCTATGATCAAAGTACCTGAGACAAGAGAGGGAGGGAGGAAGGCAATGCCAGAAAGATCTTTCCTTGCTGTCGTTTCGTGGGTCTTTCTTCTCACCGACGAGGGGATTGATGTATGATGCAATGAACTCGGGGTAGTACACTTTGGTGTCTGTCTGGGTCAGGGCCTCCCCATTCAGCACCTTTTTCATCATCTCGGGCGGCAGACTGATCTCCACGCTCTTGCGCCGCTGCTCGACGCTCCGCCCCTTCTCACCCTCCACCACTTTGACCCTGAACGACGACCTCAGCGGGATATTTCGCGCCACAGGAGTCTTGCTCACAATGCTGCCCCGGTTCGCAGGCGACGTGAGAGGGCTGAGGGCGTCAGCATAGATGTTGTCGTCACTGAGGAGCTGCTTCGGCGGCACTCGGCTGCTCTGGACAGGAGGGGGCCTCGGGACGAAGCTGCTCCTCGCGGCTTCTCCGGCTTGGGGTGAGGTGGGGGGACTGTGTCCGTGGTGGGGCTCGTCCTGTTGTGCTGGGGTGCCTACCGGCATTGGGGTCTCTGTCATGATGAAGTCCTGCACGGCGTCGTCAATGCTGTTCAAACGGTCAGCAAACTCGGTCTGAAGGATGTGCACCGCCATATGTCGCTTCGACAGAGGCCCCAAAAGATCGAGGCCCCCAAAACCAACCGCGGCGTCTCAGCTCGTTCACTCGCTCGCCCTTCGGCCGCCTTGATCAAGCCCCGATTGTACCGTCAGGCGTCGAAGGAGCCTCTGCCCTTCCCCCGTCCCATCTTCCGTCGCCACCTTCTCTCCCCCCGGCACAGAGACTGCGCTCGACATGTCAGCAGCGGCCCCTCCAAAGGATCCCGAGGTGCCTCTGGCCGTCACGAAGGAGGTCCACATGCACGCCGAGGAGATCGACTTCGCCATAGCCGCCGCTAAGAAGAGCTTCCAGTCTCTCATCCGCAATGACATCCGTCTCTGGCAGGAGGTGGCCGAGGCGATAAAGAAGGAGTTTGATGCGCACTATAAGGGGACGTGGCACGTGATTGTGGGGCAGCACTTTGGCGCTTTCGTGACGCACGAGACGCACCACATGATCTGCTTCAAGATGGGCGGCGTCAACTTCCTTATCTTTCGACACGGCTGACTCTGCGTACCATGCATGAACAAACACACGTACACGTACGTGCAGTGCATGGCGTCAATGACTTGCCAATGCAATGCACTCAATGGTTGCTCTGCTCTCGCCCCGTCCCATACATACACAATTCTTCACTGACATACGTGTTCGGAGGTCATGCGCGCACATACATACATACATGCATACAGACAGACAGACAGCCACACACGCTGTCTGTCGCACTCACACGCTTCTCGCACTCCATCTTGGCCTCACGCAACCTGAATGCGATGAAGCCCCAAGAGGGAAATGGATGGCCAGTCGCAAATGCCGTGGGCATCGCTCCGTGTGCTGCTCACCTCTCCGCATCAGCCGCCCTGTGCTCGGCGGCGATATCGCGCTGCATCAACCTGCACAAGACAACGCAACACAACACAGACACTGAGAGCTTTCACTTGCCATTGTTGCGCCGTACGTGCCATCGTGTGCCCAGAGCTCGCCAGCAACGCTGCAGACGTACACGAATTCATGCATTCAGACGGCATGTGCGACCGTCAAAATGCATGCATATGCCAGACAGACAGACAAGAAGGCACACAGAGAAACAGACGGAAGAAGAAACAGGAGAGAGATTTTGGCTGCCTGATGTGATGCCCCTCTGCATGTATACATGTGGGGCTGTCCAGATTGATTGGTGGACGGATGCGTGCTGCCTGACTCATATCGATGGTCCATATGGTATGGAGGGGTTCACATGTTGACTTACTGACCCATTCACCTCAACCGAACACGCACGAATTCTCCCATAGTACTCACAACCACACACGCAGCACAGCACCCACCCACACAAACTGACTGACACAAAGAAAGGGCCCCTCCCCATGGTCACGTCACACAAGCCAAGTCACGTCAGCCACGTATGTCTGCCGTGTCAGTCAACACAGAAATGACTTAATTACTTGCCGTTCACAAACTGCTGCTATTCTATTCGGTGCCGATCACTCGTTGGCAAACAAACACTCACGAATGAATGCCACACGTACCGAAAAAGGCAGCAGCCCTCTGCCCCTCACCGCCCTCATCGCCCTTACCGTCCTCCTGGTGCCTGGCGTCCCTGGGCACCAGCATGATGAGCGTCTTCTGTGTCGACGGGCTTGGGCGGAAAGGCCGCTGATCCTGATGGTCACACACGCACACACGTGAGTGTCGATGTCACCTCCTTCGTGTGCAGCGTACGCGGAGGCAGTGGCTGCAGCAGCTTCACGATGATCGGATTCTCCTCACTCTTGCCCCTACGCACACACACAAGCCAGCCACACACTCAGTAAGTATGTCGACTGTGGGGTGCGGGCGGTGCGCCGTGGTCAAGCGCGTACTGTTCGCCGAACACCTCCTCGATGGTGTCATTGTCCTGAGCGTCGAGATGGCCGATGAACTTCACGTCGTCTGGGCCGGTGGCGCCCGGGAGGAGACTCTTCAGAGACCACTTTAGGTGCCGCACGGTCCTGAAGTTGCCCTCGTCGATGAGGGAAGTGCAATCGAAGGTGAGGACCGAGGTGGCGTGGTTCTCATCATAACGGCACTGGAAGAAGCGGAAGTTCGGCGGAATCTCCATTCCCGACCACATTTCGTTGCCTCGTGATCGCAACGAACCAAATCAATAATGTGTAACAGTATTATTATTGTGTTAGCATTTGGCCATGCATCGCTCGAGCACCCGCCCTCCACCCCGCACGCAATCGACCATGGCATTCTGGCACTGTCCCAAAACGACACGTACGCAGGGCACCACTTCCTTGTCTCCACGTTGCACGGCCATTCATTCTGGAAGGCCTCATCGCCCCTTCAACAGCTGAGAGGACCATGAGAGGACCAGGACACGCAGCCCACAGAGCAGCGCAGAGATATGTACATGAAGAAAAGCCGTGCCCGCAACCACATAAAACGAATGCGGTTGTCAGTCCATCAGACGTCAGCCACACTTGGTAGACATACCACCTTCTTTGCTAGGTAAGGACGCAACCGCACGCGAGAAAGCTGTCATCCCCTCAGCTAGCAAAAAGACACACACACGGCTGCAGACGAGCTGAGCCGCTGGTCCTGACGCAAGTCATCCGTCTCTGATCGACACGACGGACAGGCTACTGTACACCCATCATATCATCCATCGCACATACGTACAAAAACAACCACCCCTCCCTCCCTCCCTCCCTACTACCCAGGCAGCCAGTGGCCACACGACAGTCTAGCTGTCACTCACAACCAACAGAGTGATGACCCTCTTCATCCACTGGGATGGGAAGGCGTCGATTCGGTCCAGGAAGAAGTCGAGGAAATCCCGCGCGACCCCCGTATAGGGAGCCCCCAGCAGCCGTCTGCGCTTGCCGGCGTCTCTCAGCGCCCGGATGATGTTGTTCTCGCACTGCGGCGGCACAGCCACGTGTGGGGACAGCTTCAGCAGCTCTGTCAGGATCAGCAGCTGCAACGAGAAGGACGAGACGGAGCGAAAGACGCAAGAAGCATATGCACGGAGCTGATTTCTCTCTCCTGTCCTATGCTTACATTGTCATAGTGTTCGCATTGGTCTGGTCGCGGGGACGTGTAGGGCCAGGACAGCACGAATGCCTGCATCCGTGACCTCAGTACCTCCATCTTAACACACACACACACACACACGCACACAGAGGGGAGAGGCACAGAGGTCAGTGATGAGAGCAGATCGTCGCTTATTCTCGTGAGCTACCTGGTAGTGGTCGGCAAGCTGGAGGATCTCCACCACCATCGAGGAAGGCAGCTTGCGCAGCTCACTCGGCGACAAGATGGTCTCCAACCAATCCTGATACGGCGAGACCAAACCAAACACGCCATACGAACACTCCACATGAGCTCTTCCCTTTGTTGTTTGCGTCCCGCCTCACCTTTCTGTTGAAGATCTTGAGGACGTCGAGCAGCCACTCAATCGCCTCCCCACTCACACGAGACAGCGAGTCCCTGCTGCCGCCCAGCTGCCCGATGGTGATGGTTTTGGTCTCACTCTCATGCATCGACCCTTCCAGCTCCGCACGCAGGACTTCAGAGGCGTTGGTCAGCTGACTGGCAGGGACGATCACCTCTCTCTGACCCTCCTTGGCCTCGTAGCGCACATGCACAAAGTAATCCTCTCCCGAGACAGCCATCTTCGCTCCGTATCATGTGAGCGGTCACAAGCACGTCATCTCACAGATCTCAGAAGCCTTCCTTGGGAACGAGGCCGTTGGGTCGTCAAATGCGGGTTTGCGGAATAGGGCGCTCCTTGAAACCGCTGATGATGTCCAGAGGCGGGGGATAGCGCGAGGCCGACCAACGGCGCATGGGTGTCGTCGTAGGTTGCTCGAGGCCCACATCCTTCTCGAGGGTCAACAGACTGTGGTATGAGTTCGGTCGTTTCTGGTGCGCGATGCGGCGGCGAGGAGTGCTGGATCTGGTCATCTGGAGCTGGTCAGCTGCTTACAAATACAGCAGTGAGTACATTGATTGATGATATGATTGATGAGAGCCATCCATCATCTTGGTGGTCTGTGTGTGCATGTGTTTGCCACTTGTTTGCCTGCAGGTACAGCTGGTGTCGCCAGGTATGGAGTCTCACACATCCACACGTTCCCGGCTCCCTCGCGTCGAGGCGTGTCCAAGGCATGACACGGCCTCGACGTCACAGAGCATCTCATCTGCCCTGTGGGAGCCACACTGGCGGCCCTCTCTTTAGGCTGACGGCGCAAAGGCCTCGCTGTCAGTATAGGCGGAGGGCCACACTCGCTCACACACAGCAGAAAGGCCATGATGAGATGTGTCGTCCGTGTATTGTGCTGCTTGTTCAGGTTGAGTGCGAGGAGCGTGAAGCTGTCTTTATTGTGCATTGGTTGGACACACACGGGCCGCGGGAACATAACATTCGTCGGCTGGCGGCCCTTTGCACAATTTCGATGAGGCTCATGACGGCCTGGACTGAAAGGTGAGTGAGCCAGCGCCCCACAAAGCTCAACCACCTGTGCAAGAACACTCATGTGTCGTGTGTTGTGTGTCCTGGGGGTGTGGGTCTGGGCAGCCCGTGATCCTTTCCAGCTCTTGCGCGGTGAGATGCGGGACGCTGTAAGGCCCTAAGCAACTATGCCAGGGCGCCCGAGAGCGAGGAGGGTAATTTCAGAGGGCAGTCATGATTCGCTGCCATGTCAAGCCTGCTGGCAAGTACAAGAACCTGGCTGTGCAGCTGGCGCTATCCTGCTCTACGCAGGTTAGTCGAAAGAGACACTCTGACGAATGCAGCTGCCATCCATCCACCCACCTCCTTCCCTGTTGCATCATGTATGTGTGCAGCGGCTATGCGGCTTCTCTGCTGCTCGACTGCGTCGAAATCGCCCTCTCCTCTCCCTGGTTTGCTCTCGCGAGGCAGCCAAGGCTGTTTGTTTACGAGCGGCAGCCGAGTGCAACTCACGACGAGCCCCCAATTCAACAGAGCGGGACAGGCCCGCTCTATTTTTGTTTTTTACATACCCTTGACGTGCGCGACGCGACTCTCGGGGTGGGTGCGTTATCGTTTAGGGTTTAGATGAGATGGGATGTGCAAGTGCACAACGCGGCCACATGTGTGAGACGACTCTCATGGGAAGACTGACTCATCATGTCTCTTGTAAATGGCAACTCGGAAGACGTCTGTCGCTCGGACATGGCATTCATTTACACCATTCATCGCCATCCCATTCATGTGTCTGCCTGCCTGCCTCTCTGCCTGCCCTCTAGCCGTCACTGGATGGATGGATAGATAGAATTGCTGCAGCCGAGACTCACAATGGCATACTGATTCAAGGCACTGGTTCAAGGCGACATGTCTCACATCGCCCTGATAAAAAATCTACCCAGACAGGCTGAATAGGCACCTCACAATCATATTTGAAAAGTGGATCGAGATCGAAAGGCTTCGACAGGGATGGAGGATGATAGTAAGAGATCGATCTAATCGAAAGGCTCACAAACATATCGTTGACCAAAGAAAAGACACAAACACGCAACCGGACAAGCAGGCAAAAAAAGCTGTGGTGTCGTTTCCAACCGCACGTGTAATTTTTTGATACGACCGTAATGCGTTAAGGGCGCGGTGCGATGCCGTGTAGGCAGGAGTGGGAATTAACTCATGCAGAAGGTCCGAGTGGGTCAAGTGCATACATGGTCCAGACAGACAAGGAAGAAAATATGCACAAAGACACCTCTATGGGGCGTCCAACCTGACAGAGTCCCATGCTTATGAGAATGAAATCAGCCAGCCCGTCCCACGCGTACATACGCACGCGCACTCAAACGCACACGCACACACCGGCATTCAATAAAAGAGAATTGCATGGATGCACCCTTGTCGGAGCCACGCAGGCAGGCTTGGTCACTGCACGACGCCGCCCGTACTCCCTTCGTCAGTGCACATCATCCATTACTTGAACGCGGTCAGCACAAACGACCGCTTCGCCCAGTTGATGACCGGGGACCAGCGCAGCTGCTGCAGCGCCATCATTCCCAGCACGTTGACGCCCGCGAAGTGTCCGTGCGACCGCGAAAACTGCACATCGGCACCCTCTTCAATTCGCACCAACATGCTTCGCAGCATGCTGCCGTCGGGGTACTTGCCCGCGCCAAGCGCCTTCATGGTCTTCTCGCTGAGGAAGCTGTGCGCCGTTTATGTGCTCACCACGAAGACCACGTTGAGCGACTTGCCCGGCTCCAAGCTGGTGCCGTCAGCTGCGTTGAGTGGCGGTGACTTCCGACACACCAAGGGGAGCATGAGGCGCAGGTAAGGACCCACCACCTTGCCCGCCTTGGAGTCGAGTTTCTTCGAGGCGGGAGCCGCCTCCGAGAGGTACCCAACACCGAAGTTGGGCGTGCAAGTCGCTTGAATGTCATCCTCGTTCAGCTCAGTCAGGCACAGGTCCTCCTCGTGAGGCACAGGCCCAACGCCTTCCACCGGCATCGCTACAGGAAGCCCTGAACACGCAAAAACACACACCCACACACCAATTGCCACGCACACACACAGTCAAGAAGCCGACGCTTCTCTCTGTTGCTGATCTACCTAGGAGCTCGTCCCCTCACCACAAGGTCGTCGTACGTATTGCCGACGACGAGGTGCGCCCGAGGCGGCGGCTTACCCAATAATACAACTCGGGGATAGTTCAATCGCGAGCTGGAAACAGTAGTTAGTAGAAAGTAGAAACCCTAAAAACCCGAGGGATCGACCTGCAGCTCGCACAGAAGAAGTCCCGACGCGTTTTCGCGCGAAGAGAGTTCTGTCTGACCAACATCCAACAGCGGAGCGTTCCCACCGCCAAACAGCTTGTATGCACGTGTGTGGGTCATCAGGGAGCTTGGAGTTTGGTAATTGAGAGCGGGAAACCATGGCAGACAACGAAAGAAGGCCACATCTGAAGGTGTCAAAGTCATGGAAGACAGGCAGACAGGAAAAGGCCACATCTGGAGGTATTCACGCGGAGGAAGTCGGACACAGATGCTGCTGCAGATGAGGAGGCTGTCCGTTTCGTGCACATGAGAAGGTTGTCTGTGTCCAAGCCACATCTGGAGGTGAATTTCACACAGAGAAAGTCGGACACAGATGAGGGGGCTGTGCGTTTCGCGCGATGTGTTGTCGTGCGTGTGGAAGACGGTTATGTTGTGTATGTACAGGCACCTGCTCCTAGCAGCGTTGCTTCTGGCGAGGAGACGTGTCCATCCATCGGCCGACGCGTATTCATTGCGGTGCTGTGCGTGTGTGGTGCAGGTGGCGTTGAGTTATGTGCTGCTGTGTGTGTCCAGGCGATGTGTTGTCGTTCGTGTGGAAGACGGTGCAGGTGTGTCGAGTTGGTCTGTGGTGTGATTGCGGTGGTATGCGTGTGTGGTGCAGGTGGGGGAGATATACATGCAGGTGAAAAGCACAGGGCACAGAGAAGCACGTCTGTGCATGCATTTGTGTGTGTATGTGTGTGTGTGTGTGTGTGCGCGCGTAGGCTACTCAGTGATGGTGGCGAGTGCATTGCTGGAAGCACTGCTGGACGCTGAAGGCGCACTTGGCACTGAATTGCTGTGAGTGAACAAGGTAGGAATGAAGGAAGGAAGGAAATGGGATGGATGTGTGATTGTGCTCGTGTGCGTGACTGTATGTATATGTACAGCTTACGCCTTAATGATTTTGTATTTGACGATGTGTGGTTCGTTGCAGGTGACGTACGGGCAGTGAGTGTGGTACACCTGGGCATCTGCTGGGACCTTTTCGCCGTCCTGATACACGTAGAGTGTCTCGTCGCTGGGGGCTGGGGAGAAAAGGATAGAGTAAGAAGAGGAATACAGAAGGAGACCAACGCCCGCCGGTGTTTAAGCCAACCAGCTCGCCGGCGTCGCGATACGGGCCCGCCTGCCTGCGTACCGGCAGCTGATTGACAACCAGCAATTCCCCATTGTCGACCGGGTGCAGAACAAGCGGTATGATGCCGTCACAGTCTTCGACGTGCGCCCTCCAAAGCTTCACTTCATCGACAGCATTGAGGAATACGTCAAGTGGGCTCTGCTGTACTGTCGCAGGATGGCGAGCCCGTCACGGCATTCTTTGAATGTTTGCGGCGTCTGCAGGTGGTGCGCAGTCATTTCGTCGACCAGAACACAAATCAACCAAGGCCTCGAAGAGGACGTTGCGGCTTCCCCCGTGCTGGATGGCGCACTGAATGTGGTGAAAAGTCGTCGACGCTACCTGCAGCACGTGGCCACCACCGCCCACCAACGGCTCCCAGCGCAGATTATCCAGGATGGGGTGCATCTGCTGCATCCCGTCCTTCACGAGCTCATCGAGCCCCTGGCAGCACTGGACGTGCAGTACAGTGACGCCCTTCCTGAAGCCACCAAGAATCCTGCCACTGACTCGGCGTTCTTCCACCGTTTCGTCGAGTGCGGCAAGCGGTCTTTCAGCAAGTTCGGCCAGCGGCTGGATACGATTGTCGTCATGTCGCATGTGGCACCCATTACTACGGGGCGCTTCCTCAACTATGTCCTTCTCATGCTGGGCCTGTTCTTTGACGGCAACCTGCAGGAGGCCTTCTACCGTGCCTGGCTCATCACGAACCGAGCCCCGACCCAGGCAGACGCCCTCGCTATCGCTCGCCGGTACGTACGATGGAGGTCCTGCGCTTCGAGCCTGCCAGCACCAAGTGAGTCGACTGGACAGCTGCGAGGACCACACAAGCCCTGTGTGTGTCTGTGTGTGCGGATGTCTCTCTCCTCTGTCCTTACAGCATGTTCTTTTGCTACCTGGAGTCTGCCACCGCCGCCATCAGTGATGTCCTTTTGCGCAACACCATCGCCTACCCCGGTACGCCACTGGTACGGCATAGGACACAACTGCAATAGTCCCAGCCGGCCCCACACCCCCCGATGACCAGAGGGGGCTGTGGCGGCCGGCTGGCTGGCTGGCTGCGTAATGCACGAGAGTGCGTCGTACCCTCCTTGTTCTTCTCGCATGTGTCCCGCCCTCAGATCGACACGACTACGCTGACCTTGGCGAGGACCGAGGCGGTGCAAGCCGCCATGGATGCGCGACGCAATGGCCTTCTCGACTTCCTCGAGACACATTTTATACGGCGGCCTTGCTCGCTACGCACGACACACGAGAACGGGCTGGTGTTCTGTTCTCTCGCTCTCTCTTTTTCGTTCTCTTTCTCTCTCTCTCGGCTTGTCACTAACAGTTGTGTCGCGTGCTCGTGCCTGTCCTCTGTGTTACAGTCCGGACCGCGTAAGTGGGTCAGCACAGGGCTGACCCACTTACGCGTTTGACCCGCTTATACGTACTACAGAGCTGACCCACTTGTTTTCCAGCGACTTTTGGAGTGATATCTCGCTGTGAATGAATCACAGGAGCCTCTCAGAAGCCCATTGACTCTTTTTCTCGCTCGAAGTCACTCAAATTTACGAAATCCGTCGATCATCTCAGAAGATGACAATCAAAATGGCTGTATTTCTCGATGGGATCACACTTTCATCGGTCCGCTCTTTCACAGAGAGATTCTTCATCGTCTTGCGGTCATTTTGAGCCATGAATGGTCGGTTTGGATGGCTGATTTGAGTCTCTTTGGCAGGTGACCCGGTTATCCGGTCCGTTTTTGACTGTGTACGGAGTGATCGGGATGGGCTGACCCACATACGCAACTGACCCGCTTATGCGGTGACCCACTTACGCGGTCCGGACTGTAGCGGGCGACTGTATGTGCCACGGCAATAAATGTCAATGGGGTGTACGGCATTTTTTATTGACCTCCGTTAACTGATGATTTGCGTACCCGGCCTGGCCCAACGGGCACAAAGCACAAAATTCAATCCCTTTCTTCCTCGTGGAACGCACCCCAAACCCAACACCTCGAGATTCCCTTCCTCGTTGTGTCGTCGTGTCGTCGTCGGACTTTGTTCGCGCCCTCTCCCACCAAGCCTGCCAGCCTGTCTACTCCTTCAGCGTTTCAGGGAATGCCCTTGGAACTTTGCATAAGCTCGCGCACTCCCTTTTTCCTCTTGCCCCTCGGGGTTACAGACACGAGTCTCGTTAAACACAATAACCAACCAACCAACCAACCAACCTTGCCAGCCGCCAGGGGAGAAACGTGGCAGTGAAGATGACGAGCACAGATCGACCGGCAAACAGCAGCCGGGTGAGGCCATCTCCACGCAAAGCACTCTCTCAGATCAGTCACGAGCACACACCAAAGGAATGGCCAGAGTGACTGACCGGTGCTGTTGTGTTGTGTGTGTAGGTTTGCTGCCTCTTCGGAGGTCACTTACGAGCCCCCAAGTAGTGGAAGCGGCGAGCAGCCCACGGGGGGATTTACGGCTATGAGTTGCAACGACGTAAGTACTATGGTACTGATGTGATGCTACAGATGAGTTGATACATGAGTTCACTTTGACTATGTTCATTTGCAGTGAGGCTGTGGCTCGCAATGTGCGCGTGCGACAATCACGGCGGAGCGGATCTGAGACGAGCATGCGGTGCCGACTCAGCTGCATGTCAGTAGCATGAAATGGTGACAGTCGTGGACTCTTTGAATGCATGATCGAAGCTACATTGCATTCGTCACGGTGACACAGATGCTGGCCACACGCACATGCCCACACCACAGAGACGGGAGATAGATAGGCGAACAGCAAGGGAGGGGGATATCGGTCGGTCGGTCGATGTGTGTGAGTGTGGGTCGAGTGGGCCGTACCATGCAGCCAGCTGGAGTACACACGTTTGTGTGCATGTCATGTCATTGTTATTATTACACCCATTTCAGTACTCTCTCTCTCTCTCTCTCTGTCTCTCTCTCTTTCTCTTCGAGTCAATTCATATGTGTTCGCACTGCAAACATATGTAGCTGTCTGTCAAATTCGTGCCTTCATGCTCCCATCCATCCATTGCCTCCATCCTTTCCCTTTGTGTGTGTGCAGCGTGGCCGGCTGTCAATTTCACCATGTCAATGTGCCTTTACCGGTCCGTGTACGCGTCCATGCATCCCATGACCAACGTGACTAAGGATTGTTGGCCGCCCGGAATGCAATGGGTGTTCTTGATTCGTGTCTGTCCGCCGTACGGGCAGGCCCGCTCTTTTTTTTCCCCTAGCCTTGACGTCTGCGACGCGCCTCTCGGGGTGGGTGCGTTATCGTTTAGGGTTGACATGAGATGGGATGCGGAAGTGCACAACAATGCGGCTGCATATGTGAGATGGACTCTCATGGGAAGACTGACTCATCGTGTCTTTGTAAATGGCAAGTCGCAAGACGTCTCTCGCTGGTCGGCTGAGCTCGGCTGCTTGACTGAAAACCATACATCGCTTCTTCATTCATTCATTCATTCGTGTGTCTGTCTGTCTGCCCACTGTCTGCCTAACTAGAGGGATGGATACTCTCCCTGCAGCCAGACAGCATGTAGGCACCAATCAATCCCGTTCCTTGTCTGTCTGTCAGAGTATCTTTACCACTCACCTGTAATCGATCGTCCATCACTCGTTCTGGCGGCGGTGGTGGTCGTAGCGGACTAGCACGAACGATTCGTCCTGGTAGTTGGGCAAGGCATTCGCTCGGAGGCCCTGAAGCCCGCTATACCCAACACGTTGACGGGCGCAAAGCTGTCGTGAGATCGGTGGCAGTCAATTACATCATCGCCTATCCGCACCCTCATCGAGTTGGGCACATCTCGGCCGCCCAAGAGCGCACCCATGGCCCTCTCGGAGAGGAATGAAGACGGCGGCCCCGTGACCACCAGAAACAGTACGTTGACGGGCTTGGCAGCTGGGCGAGACTCGTCGCGGCACACGAGATTGATGAGCATCCGTGATGAGTCTCCCCAGATCGTGCCCGCCCTCCACCAGCCAGAGGTCGAAGTAGAAGGGGCCTCCGACAGATACTCGACGCCCAGCTTGTCCATCGACACATGCTCAAGGTCCGCTTCCCTCAACTCGCTCGGCGGGAGCAGCGGGCCCGGTGCCTCCAGGCGAGTGACCACAAGCCCGGGCTGAGCCTGGCGTGACGTACTGGCTCCCATCTGGCGGCCTGGGATGCTCGAAGGATGCGATTCTGGGAAGACGACGAAGGAAGGGCTTGTCAGCGACCGCCAAGGGGGCCTTTCCTCCTCTCAAATACGCCAGAGATAGACGAAGAGGGTGACGCTGCTCAGAGCACACCAGCGAGAGTAAGGCACGTCAGAATGTGCTCTGCGTGGTATCAGAGTGTATTCTGCACTCGTGTGCATGTGCGTCGTGCGTAATTCTTACCTTGGAAGCGTCAAAATCCGTGAGCCACAACGAAGATGCGAGCTTGGCTCAGGAAAGATCTGCCTGAGATGAGATTGGGCTTTCTGCCAACTTTCTGATTCATCATCTCTTCTCGCGTGCTGGGGCAGATGATACCAGATGATGACGATGAATGGGCTCTGGGAAGATGCTTCGATGAAGCGGCTGATGGACTCAGTATCGTCTGCCTCTTCGCCGCACAGGCAGGCAACCAAGATCGTGCACACTGCACACGCCATCCATCCATCCGTCCATCCGTCCATTGATTCATTCCCAGTTCATTCATGCGCCACAGATGACTGACTTTGCACGTGTGTGTGTGTGTGATTTGGCGCCCAGCCACCCACGCATGCAAAAGACTACAGGTGGGTGGCTGGCGTGGGTGGCTAGGGGCGGTCACGTCACATGCATTGCAATGGATAGATGGTCGTGTGGGGTGTTTGTTGGGACTTCTTTGCTCCGTGTGGTGTATAATGTAATTAAGGTTGGGACTTCTTTGCTCCGTGTGCGAGTTGCTGCCCGAGGTGGAGGAGGACAACATCTGCATCAACTTCCTCGTGCGGCGTCTGAGCATCAACCTGCACTACGACCCCAACTCAGACGTACTTTGGACACTGCTGTCCACCGATCGCAGGATGCCGCCCAACGTCGCAGCCCACCGTGTAGGAAGCACCAAGAGCTACCCAGCTGGTCACTGGTTGCATCTGGTTGCTCAAGTGGTTAGGTAGAGCTCTAATTGAGACAGCACCGGTCTGTCAGCCAATCGTTTGCCTGACATGGACTTGTCCCATGCATGCATGGCCGATGCACTCACATGAATTCAAGACGTACGCAACCGAAACTATCAACAAAGAATCGACGACGCACGCAGCGCAGACAGGGCCATACGCACTCAGACAGGGCCATATGCACTCAGACAGGAGCATCACATCACACTACATAAGATCACATGACATAAGGTCTCTCCGTGAGTGACGGCCTCCGTTTGACAGCGAAGAAATCCCACACACCCATAAACGTCCCATCCATCGGCTGATCAGCCCATGGTGCCATGCGAGTCGACACTGTACACAACATAGAATGCCACACCCCCCAGCAGCACGACTGTCAGGCCCACAGACAGCACCCTTTTCTCCCATGCCGTCTGCTCGAGCCGCCGGATGCGCTCCATTCGCCGCTGCAGCTCCTCTGACGCCCTCTCCACCTCCCTCTTGTCGTCCACACCGCAGAACCACCGCGCAAACGCACCCAACACACCCACAACGCCCCCCCGGCTCCTGTGGCGACGCTCCTCTGTCTGCTCCTGCTGCTCAGACGTGGGCGCGGGTGGTTGCTGGTGCTCATCTGGCTGGTCTTGCCCGTCAGGAGGGTCCGCTTGGCTGCCATCGGGCGGTGTCTCGCTCTCGTTGGCAACGCCCTCCATTGTGGTGGTGTATGATGCACGGTTGGGGTCATCTGCACCGTCACCGTTCTCCTCATCTGCCTTGCGTTGGTCATCCCTGGCTGGCTGGATGTATCGCGTCCAGAAGGTGACGGCCGGCAGGGACTCTGGCTTGGGGGGCGGGGTGAGAAAGGACACCGTAAGGCCCACGATGATCGTCACAAGCCCCTCGAAAAGAGCCATGTACCTGAGTGAGCGTAGAGCGTAGATACACCACAGAGACAGAGGTCAGGTGCCCAGGTACGGCGTGTGTTCCTTGCCCAGCTCACATGTAGTGCATCCTGACGAAGAGCCACCGGCTGTCGGGCACACCGCAGGGCAGCGGCGGATCGGAGAACTGGAAGATCAGTCTGACGATGCCGACAGCTGTGCCGGCGACGAGGCCCCAGAATGCGCCCGCCTCGTTGTAGCGCGGGATAAGCATCGACGCCAGGTACAGCACACAGACTGCGACGAAGGGCAAAAGAGACACGCATGAAGGTGCTCTGCTCGTATTGTGTTGGGTATGTGTTGTGTTGACTGACTGGGCGGTGCGAAGAACGACGTGACAATCTGGATATAGTAGAAGACCACCCCGCCGTTGATCGCCTGGATGAGCGGCATCCACAGGACGCTCAGCGCCACAACAATACCCGCACCAACCTTGCCCACCTATATCACCACCAACCACACAAAGGAAGGGGGAGAGCAAGTGCACGCCCGCCGACACACAAAGTGCCAGCATGTACATGTGTATGGATCACATCACATCCACTCACGATCAAGAGTTCCTTGGTGGATGCCTTTCCCCTCCTGATGGGCTGCCAGACATCGAGGGTGAAGAGGGTGCTGGTGCTGCTGATGATCGAGTCCATGCTGCTCATGATGGCGGCCAGGAAGACAGCGACCATCAGCCCCCGCACTCCCTCTGGCAGCAGCCGCATCACCAGCAGAGGGAAGGCAACGTCACTGCACCCAGATCTCTCGCCACACGCCTTTTCACACGCCTCTTCGCTGGCACACGCTATGATGTCAGGATACAGCACTCTCGCAATCATACCTGAAGAGACAGAGGGAGTCACACAGAGAGGCAATTGATGGGCGGTGGGTGCATCTGTGTCGTGGCCTTTCCCTCACCAGGCATCACGAAAACGTACAGCAGAGTCGACTTGACCACTGACGCGAGAAGGCATCCCCCCTGGGCGTGTGAAAGGCTGCGTGCAGCCATGGTTCGCTGTACCATCATCTGGTCGGCACACCAATGCCAAATTGACGACAGTGACTGGCCGAACACGAAGCCGGCCATTGGAATGTCCTGCACACAAGAGCACACACACCCAGCTGGTCAAAGGGGGAGTCGGGAGCCTCACCGTGCGATAGGTGTGTGCCTTACAGAGCCCCAGGAGTCGCGAAGGAGAATCCAGTAGTCGTCTCTCGGCTGACCGCAGTCACCCACCGCACTCTCAGTGTCAGACGCAATGGCCATCGGGTACTGATCAACACACACCACAGACGACACCAGCAGCTGTGGAGCATTCTCCTGGCTGATCTCTCTCTCTGTCAGAGATACAACACACCTTTTCGATGAGTCCCCAGTACCCCCCGACTCTGTCCCACGCAATGCAGGCCAGCGTGACGGCGCCCACGACCATGCAGAGGGCCTGCAGGGTGTCGGTGTAGATGACGGCTGCCAGGCCGCCACCGATGGTGCAGACGGCCGTCAGGGCGAGCAGACTCAGCAGCGCCGCATACATATCCCAGCCCAGCACGACTCGAAGCAGAAGTGCAGCTGATGGACGGACGGATGCACCAACCACACCACACCACGCAGCCAGATAGGCATTGTTCAGTGGCGTGGGTGTGTCGTTGGCTCACCAGTGTAGAGGTCCACGCTAGTCTTGACGAGCACGTAGAGAACGAGCGACAGAAAGGTCAGGTACCCCCGCAATCGGTATCCCCCATATCGCTTCGTCATGTACTCAGGCAACGTCGACACACCCGACGACAACAACACCTGCACACAGCCACACACAGCCAGCATCGCATCAGAGCACATTCCCTCCTCGTGTGGTCTCCCCCCGTCTCACGCACCGGCAAGACGACCCATCCGAGCAGTGACAGGCAGAAGATTGCGTCCAGCTCAAATGCACCCACAGATATCCCGAACTTAGCGGCAGTGCCTGGCAGGCCTATCCAGTGCTCAGACCCTTTGATTGCAATGAAACAACCACACATGCGAGAGCAGTCAGCCAACACGTCCTTGCCTGAGCTGTAGCTTCCTGGCCGTACCGATGTTTGACGCAAAGATGGAGGCCCCCACCATGTAGAAGGGCATCGCTCTGCCGCCGAGAAAGTACCCCTGGATGACAGACCGCTTCGTACGACACATTGACAGAGCCGTGGCGGCGAGCGTCTGTAAGTGAACAAACAGCGCGAGCACAAGCACATGGCGTTCTTGTTCGTCTTGTGTGCGTCTTTTTGCCTCACCAGCGCAATGTACACCCCAATGGAAACATAGTCGCCGGTTGCCAGAGTGGCGGCGGATATCATATTCGGCAGACTTGCAAAAAACAGACACAAAAAGCATCAGATCTCGTTGCAGTCAACATAAGGCCCTGGTGTTCTTTTTCTTCTCTCCTGGAGCTAAGCTCGCAGCATTTGCGAGCTCAAAAGAAACGCATAGCCGAGAAAAGGAGTGATTGCATATATATGCCAGGGGGAGACTGTCCACCTCGCACGCCACAACCATCATCATCCCTGACTGTCGTGCTGCCGCCGCCATCTCGTGCATCGCCATTATCCCACCATCCGCCCCGCGCCCACTCTCCCGGCCCTTCACCAGCACCAGCACTGGCGCGAGGCGGCGGCCCAGCGCCGGCTATCTACGGCCGCGTCGACAGCAGTGACAGCTCCGACGCACTCATGACGGCCAAGGGCGACCGCCACCACAGCAGCAGCTCCGGCAGCGCATCATGTGTGGTCGAGCTCGAGATACTCCCGGAGATACGAGTGTCACCGCCCAGCAAGGGCGGCGCTGATACTGTTGGTGCGGTGCCGGCGATAGGGCCCATTTTGATCTCTGGGGCGGGGTTCCTGGCGGACGCGTATGACCTGTTTGTCATCGACCTGGTGCTGGATATCCTGGCGCACGAGGGGAGGGGTCCACGCCCACAGACGGCGGCAGACAAGGGGGTGGTCGCGTCGGCCACACTGGCGGGGGCCGTCATCGGCCAAATAGGTGAGTGAGGAGGGACGAGAGAGGGAGAAAGAGAGAGATAGGAGGATAGAGAGAGAGGCCGCGTCTGACTGGACTGCCCGCTGTCCCTCGTCTCTCTCTCTTATGCAGGTTTTGGTTTCTTTGCCGACTGGGTGGGTCGGCGTGTTATGTTCATCACAACTGCCATCTTGATTGTTCTGGGGGCCGTGCTGTCGAGCGTCGTGCAGTGGGGCAGCATCGCGGGGATGGGACTTTACGGGCAGCTGGCCCTCTGCCGCTTCCTACTGGGGCTGGGCATCGGGGGCGAGTACCCGCTCTCAGCCACTGTCAGCTCTGAGAGTGCGGCCACGAGACGGAGGGGCCGCACCGTCGCCATGGTGTTCTCCATGCAGGTGTGAGCGAGGGATGAGAAGAGAGGCAATCAGATATTGTCTGTATGCCGAGTGATATGTGGATGTGTGCAGGGTGTGGGGATGTTGTTGTCGCCTGTGTTGGTGTGGATCTTCCTTAGTGCCAATATGAGCCTCGAGAGGACATGGCGGACTGTCCTGGCGCTGGGAGCACTCCCCAGTGCCCTTGTGCTCTACTTCAGGTCCAGCAAATGGCCCACAACGACACCAAACCACACCCTGATGTCACTTCATTCTCCTTCTAATGTCACGCCATGCAGGTGGCGAATGGAAGAAACGAAGCTCTTCCGGCAGGCCGCCTCGCGAGCGGCCCCCCGCCCCCACCACAGCACCATCTCGCCCATAACAAGACAGTGGTCGCGACTGCGCAGCCGCGGGGAGGCCTTTGCGGCGCACTTGAGGAGGTCTTGTCGGATAGTCGGCACCTACTGGCGGCCCCTGCTGGGGACGACCCTCTCCTGGCTCCTCCTTGATGTGACCTTCTATGGAAACGGGTCGTTCAAGAGCAGCGTTGCGGAAGCTTTCAGGCCGGGAGACGAACAGACGAGTGAGTGACTGAGGAGCAGGGGAGAAGAGGCACACCACTATGTATGTGTGCGTCCTTGTGCAGAGCGTCATGCGATAATGGCTGACGCGTCGTTTGGCGTGCTGGTGGCCCTGATAGCCATCCCGGGGTACCTCTTGAGTGTGTGCTTCATCGACCAGATCGGCAGGCGGCGGCTGCAGCTGTGGGGCTTTGTCGCCATGGGGGTGTTCTTCGCCCTCCTGGGCATCGAGCAGATTGCAGGCGGTGGAATCCTGTCCCTCGAGCTGATTCTGTTTGGCGGCACTTTCCTGTTCAGCAACTTCGGCCCCAACACCACCACTTTCATCATCCCCGCAGAGGTGTACCCCACTCTCATTCGTGCCACCTGCCATGGTGAGAGAGGGAGGGAGGGAGGGAGGGAGGGAGGGACCACGTGACCACACACCAGACACAGGGGATGAACGGGTCATGTATCATTCTTGGTGCAGGTCTGTCCGCGGCGTCGGGCAAGATGGGTGCCGTGATCGGCACCGTGGCCTTCACCCCCCTGCAGCAGGCCCTGGGCCTCGGCCCCCTACTCATCATATGTGCCAGTGTGGCCGTCATCGGCGCCGTTGTCACCCTCCTCTTCACCGACGACCAGGAGGTCGACCTCACCCTGCTCGACAGAGACGTGCCCATCAACGACGAGAGCGACAAGGACGGCAACGGCCTCGGCAGCCCATCGGATGGGCGGCCGCTCCGTGCTGAGATGGATCTGAGTCTGTCTGACGATGAGGAGGACAGCAGCATCCAGCAGGCCATGGGGGGGACAGCCATGGCGGCGTATGAGGGTGGTGAGTCCCCGCGGAGCCCTCAGCGTTTCGGGCGGGGGGACAGCTCAGATCTGGACAGCAGCCCTGCCAGCGGGAGGCTGGCAAGGGATGACAGGCCTTTCCGAGGGGCATAAGTGTAGTGGTTGGTCTGTGTATTCGATGGATGAATCCTTTTGTGCCCAAGTGCGTGTGTGAGTTGAGTCGAATGCCTCTGTGAGTCAGTGCCTTCTTCATGTCGATTTTGGCGAGTTCGTGCGAGTTAGTGTGTGTCTTTGTACATGTTCATAGGACACGCTTTGGCCGACAATGTAATTCGTCAAAAGCGTTCGATTCAGCCCCTTCCCTCCAGCGATCCGACAGCAGCGGTTTCAGGGAGCACCCTGCGATCCGACAGGACTGCGAGCTTAGACCTGTCTGCAGAAGGAAAGAGAAACGCACGCACGACCGCTCTACAGCCCCGCCCCAGCGCTTTCAGCAGTCAGTCACGCAATGGTACGCATGAATGCATTTTCGACACACCTACGGCTGCCGATGGCGAAGAGGCAGATGTGCGTTCCGCATGGCCAAGTGTGATTTTGCTGCTCTGTGGCTGCTGCTGCTTCAGAGTGGTGCGGCCAAGAGGTTCCTCCCGCTGCTGGATCGTGTGCTGGTGCAGAAGCTCAAGGCTGAAACGCAGACCAAAGCAGGGATCTTCCTCCCCGACACCGCTAAGGGACCGTCAAACCTTGCCAAGGTCACAGCGAAGCGAACACCGTACTGATGTGGCAGATGATGAGAGCAAGGGCATGTGTGGCTGTGTGGCTGTGTGGCTGTGTGGCTGTGTGTGTCTTGATGATAGGTGTTGGCAGTGGGGACAGGGAAGATCACCAAGGAGGGCGCGACGGTGCCGTGCAGCGTCAAGGAGGGCGACACGGTGGTGATCCCCGAGTACGGCGGCATGACCATCAAGATCGAGGGCGAAGAGTTCCACGTTTTCCACAACGAAGACCTCATCGGGGTCATGAAGGACTGACCGACTTGATGTGATGACCCTCACTGGTCGGTTGATATGGGTCAGTGCATGCATTTCCGTTGTCGTGAGACCGTGGCCGTGCTGCTGCGTTCTGCCTTCCTCCTTCCTCTTTTTAATGATGACTAACTGACTGACTGACTGAACGACTGACTGTCTGATTGACTGACGGAGGCGGTGGTCACCGACCCCGCTGCTGCGTGTGCCTGTTGTGGTCGGGTAGCTCTGCTGCACACAGCACAGCACAGCACGACGGATGGGCAGACGGACAATACATACGAACGTGCCATGCGTAGCCACCCATCTATCTGTCCATGAGGAGTTTTTGCCATACGTGGAGTCGTGTGTCGGCCGTGCGTGCGTGAAGGACCTGCATCGCATTGATGACCCGACTATCGATCGCCCATGCCTGGGTGACTGAGCGATGACCTTCATCCCCCATCCATCCATGAGTGAGTGAATCTATTTGTGCGTTCGTTTACCCATCCACCCACCGCACGGACGAAGCCAGCCAATGAATGTCACAGCAGCAGGCAATCGGTCTCTCTACACTACGCGTCGATCTGCTTGGCCTCGTCGTGCATCTCGCCGTGCATGGTGGTGGCGAGGTGTGCCTTGAGCTGTTTGATGAGCGGGAGAGGGCTCCGGTTGGACTTCTTCATGTCGGTGATGGTCTCGATGGCCGTCCGGGCGAAGTCGGCGTCCTCGTGAGCTATCCTGTCCAGTCTCCTGTTGCGCATGAGACACAGACACCATGTTAGTGTCAATCCATGTGTGTACGAGCCTTGCAGATCAGATAGACTCCACTCCCACTCACTTCTGCATGCTGGCACGCTCATCGTCTTTCGCTTTCTGAACAGCGGCACAACACAAACAAGACAGACAACTGCCCTTCCTGCTGTGCTGACGGGCGACACACGGCAATCAGTCAATACAAGCGAGACCCACCTTACCTGGACTTCCCAGGCCTTCAGCTCTGCCAGCTGTCGGTTGAATGCGGCGAGGTCCTGCAGCTCCTTGAACCGCCGTCTCCGGTCCTCGTCGTCCCGCTCGCACATGGCACTGAACGACGAGTGCCAGTGCTGCAACATCCGCTGATCCTCCGCTCTCCGCGCCTCCTCGTTCGCCTGGGCAAAGGACAAGGAAGAGAAGAGCAAGTCTCTTCCCTGGTTTGTTACAGGCACACTGTGTGTGTGTGTGTGTGTGTCTGTGTGTCTGTGTGTCTGTGTGTCTGTGTGTCTGTGTGTGTGTGTGTGTGTGTTGGCTGCCTTTTTCATGGCGAGTTGCTGTGCTCTGTGCTCTTCGATCATCTGTCTCTGCAGGCGGGCCTGCTCCTCTTTGGCCATGAATTTGGCGTCCTCCTTGGCCTTGAACTCTGCTGCCTGATCGTTTGATGAATGAGAGAAAGAGGGGATGTTTTGGCTTGTTAGTTTCGTCCTCACCTCCCTCTCAGCTCTTGTCTCGTCAGCCTCATGAATGGCCTGCAGCAGTCTGGCCTGTTCGTCGATCATCCTCTGCCTGGTGGCCAGCTTGGCGTTGAAGATCTCCTCGGACCTCTTCTGCATCTTCTCCTGCATCTCCTCCTTCCGCTTGGCCCAGCCGGAGATGGCGGCGTCCTGCTCGGCCTCCACCTGACGCTCGCGCTGCTTGAGCTCCTCAAAGTACTTGTTGGACTTGACCGTCTCTTCCAAGGTTTTCTGCGCCATCTCGCGGCGCTTGACCTCGGCGGTGCGCTCGGCGATGATGTCCTCCTCGGCCTTCTTCTTGAGCATCTCGCCCTGGAGGATCTCATCCTGGATCTCTTGCAGACGCCTGCGCTTCATTTCTTCCAGCTGCTCGGCGCGCTCCTTCTGTGTCTCGGACACCTTCTTCTCCCGCTCTAGGGACTCGGCAACCTCCCTCTCAAGCGCTCGGCGATACGCCTGCAGCGCATACACAACAAATTGATGGTCATGTGTGTTGCCTGCATGCCGTCTGTCATCGACCTGCTGTTCTTGCTCGAGGTGGAAGGCCTCCCTTTGTTTCTCGAGCGCACCGAGCTCCTCCTTGAGCGTTCGCTCCTCCTCCCAGTCAGTGTGGATGTCTGTGAGCATGGCGTTGCCCTGGAAAGCCCTGAAGTGCTCGCCGTGCTGCCGAGACAGCTCCAGGGCCCGGCCGATGGCCTTCTTCTTGAGCTCCTTCTGGTAGGCAGCCTCCTCGTTGTCCACCGCCTTTGCAAACCAACCCATTACAGACAGACAGACACCGTGCTGCTCGTGCTCCCTGGGCATGATTGGCTCGTAACACGTGTGTGCTGAGTGTGCTGACCTGCTTGGCTGCCTCCTCGTCTGCCAGGCGCTTCTTTCGCATCTCTATCTTCAGTCTTCGCGCACCTGAAAATAGAGGAAGGAACGAAGGCATATTGAAGGGCCCCTGGCCATTTGGCGATGGTTCGGCTCACCCTGCAGCGTGTTTGACCACCGCGAGGCCCTCTCCTGCGACTTTTTGTGGAGTGCGAGGCGGTCTTCGGTGCCGTCGTCCTTGCTGTCCTCAGCAAGGGACGAACGGGCCCTCATTTTCTCCAGCTCACTGGCGCATATCACCATCTGTGTGTTTGCAGCTTTGAGCTCCGCCATTTCACGACGCGGGACGGCTGCCCCCGCGAGCTTAGCCGCGAGATGTGGGGGTGCCCCCTTCGTGGTGCACGTCCGGAGACGGAGGTGTCGGCCATTGCTCCGCCGTCGGTCGGTGCCTTGCCCAGATCTGAGGCTGGGAGAAGAGGAGGGAAGTTTACGTCCTCAGGAGATCATTCGCCGTGAAACCGTTACTCGTCGAGATCTGTGCATTTTCAAGGCAGGGAGGTCAAGGACGCACAGACTGTCGACTGGTCGCCTCGCAGCTCAGCGGTGACTTTCTGAGGTCTGGAAATGAAGGCAGTCTGTGCGGTGCTGGCGTGCCTTTTGTCCGCCGCCGTGGCGGACCGATCTGCTTTCGTCCCTGCACTCAATGTCAGAAGGTAGGTAACGCATGAATCAGAGGCGGTATCCATCTGTGTGTCCAGTCAATAATCACATTCGTGATGGCATGGTTTGTCACGGGTGCTGCAGGTCGACGAGTGTCCCACGGCCCTCTGAGCAGCTCAGAATGTCCGCCAGCGACAGCGAGGGGTCCAATGCGCTCCTCGAGAGAGCCGGCAAGGTGCTGGGACCCGCCCTTGCTGCAGGAGCGCTCGGTGGCCTGATGGCCACGCAGCCAGCCGAGGCAGCTCCTGAGCGCCTTGTGCCATGCGCCGAGAGCAAGAAATTCGCCGCCAAGATGAAGGCGCAGGCAAGCAGACCACCACACTCGGCATTTGGTTGTGGCGTTGTTCACTGCAATGTGTGTCATCGTGATTCAGGAGAAGGGTCTTGAGGCTCGTCTGAAGAAGTACACGCCCGAGTCGCAGGGCGCGGCGCTGCTCAACGGCAGGCTGGAGGAGACCAAGACGCGCGCAGAGCGGTACAAGGCATCAAACCTCCTCTGCGGAAAGGTGGGTGGCTGTTGATTGACAATAATGAATGTGCTGTGTGTGGTTTTCAATCACTCGTCGGCTTCTATGTGTATCACGACGTGTGTGGTTCATTCAGGACGGTCTGCCCCATTTGATTGTGGACGTGAGGGGTCAGCATGCGGGTGAGTTCGCCGCCCCGGGTCTGCTCTTCCTTTACATTGCCGGCTGGATCGGCTGGGCGGGCCGCTCATACCTCAACGGTGTGCAGCTCGCCAGCAGCAACCCTGAGAGCAAGGAAATCGTCCTCGACCTGCCTTTCGCTCTCCAGGTGCGATGCATTACCAACACAAACAGCATCACACGCGAAAGCGCCTATGTGTCTGTGTGACTGCACTGTGTATGGTGTGGTGTGCAGGTGATGACTCGTTCGGCCACATGGCCATTCCAGGCTTTCGACGAGGCGTTCGGCAAGGGCGAGACGCCCGTGCCTTCGACGAACTTCGACAACGCGCCCAACTACATCAGGTTCCTCGGTGTGTCGTCAGTGGCACTGACCATCTGGATGTCCCTCACCGCCGCCATGCTCATCCTCCTCAACAAGGCCTACCCAGGACTGCTCTTCTTCCCTGACCGTAAGTGACCATCGACCCATGCATCCATCAGTGATTCGATTGATGTGTGCACACCCAATGACGGTTTTGCTGTCGCCTTGTGTGTCTCTGGTGTGTGCAGTGAGCACCGACCTCTTCTCCCCTTTCTCTGGGAAGTAATCAAGCAAGCCGGCACTACTGGGTGGGTGGGGCAGGCAGCATCTGAGGCGGCGCCGTTAGAGTGTGTGCTGACTCTCGATCTGGCAGCCAGTGCACTCCCTGACGGCTACGCAGCTGAGGCTGTCTTTCTCGCCCGTCCTTGGCCACAAGTGTTGCTTGCCGTCTTAGCGCCGTGTCATTTGACGTGTAGAGAGGAGGACAAGACGCGGCCTGGGGCGTGATCGATGTCATGTGATGTGACGTTGGATGGATGAGTGAGTAGTTTGGGCTTTCTTGGTTGGTGTGGTGCATGCATGCTTGGATGCATCGGCTGACCGACAGACAGACACCCATGTGCAATACCATCTCTGTCGAATTTTTGTCTGTGGTGTCTGTGGCTGGCCTTACAGCCAAACGGTCGGTCACCGCAGGAATGCAGCCACTCATCGACAGTACACACGGACGCATTGGGCTTCCGTTTGTGGGCTTTGAGCCTATTCTGCAAGCGGTGCTCAATGCTCCTTCTGACGGAAGACTCGAATCACTACTCAGCACCGAAGGTGGTCCAAACAACGGTCTCTCTACCAGCCATCATCTGGCTCTTACACAACAAAGTGCAGCCCGCGATTGATTGTCCACCAGACATCGATCGCCACACACAGATACCCAGCTGCAGCCAGAGACACGGACTGCAGCCATACACATGCCAAGCAAAGAATCGACAGACGAGACGAGGCTTTTGCTGCTGCTGCATCATGTTCTGACCTGCACACCCACCACAGACAGCAGAGCAGTCACACATGTCTGTCTGTCTGTCTGTCTGTCTGTCGGGTGTTGCATGCCTTTCCCGCCTCCCTCGCTGACCATAGGCACCATAACGGAGGGAGAGCGTGACAGATCTGTAGGCAGAACAACAGACGTACGTATGATGCGTCGACACATCCTGCATGCCTTTCTTCTCTCTCGCCAGCCAGGCAGGCGAAGCTGGCGTGGCCTGCGCCAGCTCCTGGCCACCACATGTGCATGCGCGTCTGTCTGCATATATCAGGCATGCTACAAACACATTCTTCTGCACGGTGTGTGCACATACTATCCCCCGTACGGTACGCCCTCTGCATGTCGTGGGGGGACTTCTCCAGCCACTGCGCATCAGCGGATGAATCTCATTCCGATTCAAAGGCCGACGCCACCGACACCTCCACCGTCTCTCGATAGCACCAAAAACGACCGCGCAATGGCTGATGCCATCTGGATGTGCGTGTGGTGCTTGGGGCGGACACGTGTGCTGAGGGGCAGCCCCGCAGGCAGCCAGACAGGTCGACCTGAGCGAGGGTCGATGGGAGACAGAGAGAGAGTGCTGTGGGTGTGGCTGTGGGTGTCATGGCTGTGTTGTGAGTGTTTTGTGTGTCGCGTACCTGAGGTATGTCGTCCTCATGGACCCATCTGATGCCCCATCCTCACTCGGCAACCCGATAGATCGCCAGACACTCACCACGACCAGCATGCTTCCACCACCCTACATACACACACACACGCACACACACACACACACACAGGGACCGATGAACCAATCAATGACCACAGCAATGGCTGCTGTGTGCTGACCAGCTGGCGGCAGTTTGCGACGAGAAGACAGGCGGTGAAGGCAGCAGAAGACAAAACACACAAGGCCTGCCTGCCTTTATGTATGCGGCAGTGGACGCGAGAAACACAGGCACATTGATTGCAGACAGTCAGACACACATGGGCAGGTAGGGTACACGCTCCCATGCATCGCATCGCATCGCATCGCATCGCATCGATTGTCAATCCATCACATCGATCGCACCGGAACTCACATAGCTATGTTTTCCCAACTCATGATACATGGATGCATGGAGTGCAGTGTAAAGTCACACCACCGATAGATACAACTGAATAAACCCCGCCGGCCAGACCTTAGCGGTCGGACCTACCGTCCTGTTGGTGCGTCTGCACCAAGGGCATGTAGATATCGTCCGCTCCAACGTTCGCCCCATCCTGCCTCTCCTGTGCTCCTTCTGGCAGGGGCTCCTCAGACGATGGAAGTTGCCACACGGGATTCCATGGGCAAAGGAAACGCATCAGACGGCCGAAAACACTCCTGTACCAACACCGCACACCCTCACAAACGACCGAACGAACCAGACGATGCATGCAATTGCAGAACGCACCTGCGAAGTCTGTCATGGGCTTCTTCTTTTGCTTTGATGTACTCGTCGAGTTTCTTGGTGTGCGCCTATAGCATGCATTGCCACAAACACACAGCACTTGAACCATCCACTGAGGCGACGGATTGATTCACATACATCGATTGCGTCGCATTGCACTTTGGTCCGTCTCTTCCTCTCCGCAATCTCGAATTGCTTCCAATCGTCCGTCCCCTCCTGGTGAGGGTCTGGGTGAGCAAACCACACATGGCGGCCACAAACGATCAAAGACGGACACGTACGGCGGCCTGCCAGTGTCATAGTGTGTCTGTGTGTGTTTGTTGGAGGGTTACGCACGGCCTCTTGCTTACTCGGTCTGCGAGCAAACTCCCTCATCCATGGATCCTCCTCCTCCTGGGCAGGGCACACCATCGAACAATACAGGCAGGCACCGCGCCGTGGTGTGTGAGTCTTGCCTACCTCAGCGACATCCGCTGTCCGTCTAGATCTTCCTGCACCACGAGGAGGGACATACAGAGCCGGAATCAGTCCTGCGGGCCACAAACATAACCACAGCACCACACGTGGTCCACCATTGCGCTGGTTCGCTTCTCTGTTTCGTCGCTTACCATGCACATCCAGGCGAGGACCCTGACTGATTGCCATTTTGTTCGTTCACTCTCCCTCGAGCTTCTCTGTCGCAGCGCTGCTCACCATGAATGCCTGCAGCTTGGCCAGCCCTGGATGGGAGGACGGGAAGAGGATAGAGCCAATCATCCGCGTGGACAGTCGGGTGGCGCAATCGACTGTTGCAATCGTTTACACGAAGCATGGCAATTGACTTGAGCAAGCATCCGCGTGAGTGCGCGTGCGCGTGCGCGTGCGCGAGTGCGTGTGTGTGCAGCCAAAGAAGTGCGTTTCGGAAACATTCGAATAACATGCCCTACATTCTACAGCTGTGTCCACGCATGCAGACAAGGAAAGTGAACATGTAAGGACACACCTTGTAAGTGAGTAAGTAATGGTGGGCGCATGACTCTTCCCCCGCTACGGCCACCATTATGCAAAATGCCATGGGTGAATGCGTATCTAATAGATAACGTCAATGAATTATCGGCTTGGCATACATCGCGGGTGTCTGGCAAAGGGACGCCATCGTGACTGACGGAAAAACACCCAAAAACACGCACGTACACGCGCGCATTGCCCGTCCCCTCTTCACAAATAGTGCAACAGCGACACGGCACCCGTCCCACCCTGCCCCGCCCCGTCGGCTGGTCGTGTGTGCATCAATCACTATGCCCCTCTCTCCTCCGACTGCAAACATCACGCACACAGAGCCGTGAGGGCGAGGCCACCCACGGTGCTTCATGTGGATCCTGATATGCTCACGTACCTGGCCGGCCCCTCTGATTTGATCAGGTACGTTGAGCTGTCCGCCGTCCTTGCCCAAGGCGGCGAGCACAATCATGATGACGATAGTGAGGCAGATGAGCCCGCACAGCATCTGGATGCACCGGTCCGACACGGCGTTGCGGGCGATGGTCCGCATGGTGGCCTTGGCGCGTGTCAGGTTGTTCTCGATGTCGTGCATCTGGTCGTGGATGCGCGCCATCTGGTCCGTCTGCTGATCCAGCCGCTGGACCACCTGCTGACCCACCTGCTCAGCGTCACCTGAACCAAACCAAACCGGACATTTAAATGAGTGTTGTGAGTGCTGTGTGCTATCTATCTGCCTCGTGTGCTGTGCAAATCAATCCGCACCGATCATCCGCTTCGTGCGGTCGAGTGACTGCTGTGTCTTGTCCTGCACCCTGTCGCCCGTGTCGATGATCTGCTGGGCGTTCATCTGGTCCACGTCTATGACCTCCTCCCCCACATCCACAGCGCCGCCCGTGAGCTGCTCCCGGTCCAGCTCGTTCTTCTTCCACTCCAACTGGTTGAGCAGCATCTTGAAGTCCCGCATCCGCTCGTCCAGGTTGGCCTTGTGCTGCCGGGCGTCCTCTGGTGCCAGGCTGCGCATCTCCAGCTGGTAGGCCTCGCGCGCCGTGCGGACCTGCTGGGCGATGAAGTCGCAGTCCTGGATGCGGGACCGACGCTGGCTCTTGTCCGCCTGCGATACGCTCTCGATGGCATCACGCAGCTCGTCCAGGAGCTTCAACAGCTCCCGGGACTGGCCTTCCGCCATCCAACAGTCAAATTAGCGAGCTGTGGGAGCAATCACACTTCTCGTAAGCGCCCTGAAGCACAGCAGACGTTCTGAAACGTTGAAGCCACTGCCAAACCACTGCGAGCTATTCGTTTTCACTTGCGAGCTTAGCTTGGAGACCGTGGGGTTTTTCCGCATGTTTCTGCTTGCCACTGATGCATAGTCATGTGCTGCATCTTGCCGTCTTGACGCTTTGGTTCGCTATTGTCCCAGCGCTAAGATCGTCAGAGCATTCATCTTTCCTGGCTCCTCTGTGGCCGTCGAGGCGGTATGGGACCAGCAGAAGGCACAGGAGCAGGCTGCACGTGGCGGCGGCGGAAAGTGAGAGGTCTTCTTCTTCAGATCTGGCGATTCCATTCATTGATCTGTGTGTTTCCCCTGTCTGCAGGAGCCGAGCATGAAGCAACCGAGATAGCAGAGGCAGAGTGAGCGCCTGACACGATCTGCACGATGAGTCAACCGTCGTGCGTGCCACTGGCTCTGCGTGTGTATTCACCACAGGCCGTCAGATCTGATGGAGACTGACCTCGGTGCTGTCTACGGCCGCAAAAGTCAGGTCCTCCGCGACATTGTGACGGAGCAGCTGCGTGAGGAGCTGGGGGAGGCCGACCCGTTCGACAACATGACCAAGGAACAGAGGGAGGCTCTCATTGAAGTGTAGGGGACTGATGAACGCACACACACACGTTCATTCTGTGTGCGTGTCGTGTGTGCATGTCAGTCAGATGGATGCTTACCTTGAGAAGAGGTCGAAGGAGTTCGAATCGACGCGGCAACAGAGACTGCGAACGTGAGCCACCAACATTGCCGAGAGAGAATGGCAACGTCAATGCGTCACTCACTGGTCGGTGTGTGGCAGTATGCCCGCCACGATCCCCCGGGAGCGCCAAACGTCCCTCCCCCTCGTAGCCATCATCGGCCGACCAAACGTCGGCAAAAGCACTGTCTTCAATCGGCTCACCGGTGGCTAAACCAACGCCCAAACAATGCGTCTACTGCACGTCGATCGCTATCTATGTGTGTCCGTATGCGTCCGTATGCGTCTGTATGTGTGTGTGGTTCATTCAGGTCGTTACAAGGGTGGTGCGATAGTGGATGACGAGCCGGGCATCACGCGGGACAGGAGCTATGGCCGCGGCAGCTGGAATGGGTACAACTTCCGGGTCGTCGACACCGGGGGCCTGCTGCTCGACGACCTGGAAGGGGTGAGGGGAGGGAGCGTCAAGCCATTTAATGTGATACTTATGGCGTTGGTTGTGTTGTCTTGTGTGTTGTGGCTCCTTTGCAGGACCCGTTCAGGTCTTTGATTCGAGATCAGTGTGTGCAGGCCATGAGTGAGGCGGATGTCATTCTGCTGGTCACCGACGGACAGGCGGGACTACACCCACAGGATGTCGCTCTTGCAGGTCAGCAAGCAATGAATCCACTGGCTGGGTGCGGCTCAAGCAGCGCTGTGTATTGGTGCTCGTGTTGCGTCTGTGTGTCAGAGTACCTCCGGAAGGCCCTGCCACGGCGGCCAACGCCGGCCAGATCTAACGAGACGAAGCCTATCCCCCTCTACGTGTGTGTCAACAAGTGCGAGAGCCCTACCAAGGGCATCACACAGGTAGAGAACAACCGAACACGACAAGACAATCCGTCACTCAGTGCACTTTCCGTGGTATGTGTTGGATGTCTGTCTACAGGCGCAGGAGTTCTGGAGTCTGGGGTTCGGCGAGCCCCACCCTGTGAGTGGCATCCAGGGCACTGGGGTGGGCGACGTGCTCGACAAGGTCGTCACACACATCCCTTGGGTGCCTGACGTAGAGGTCAGTCCACACAGCAGACAGACAAACAGACAGCTGGACGAGAGGCAGGCCGTGCCGTGTGTGATGTCAGGTTGAGGACGACGAAGAGGTCAACATCGCCATCATCGGCCGCCCAAACGTCGGCAAGAGCAGCCTACTCAACAGGCTACTGGGCGAGCAGCGCGTCATCGTCTCTGACGTCCCCGGCACCACTCGTGACGCCATCGACGTGGAGCTCGAGCGCCAAGGCCGCGTGTACAGGCTGGTCGACACGGCGGGCATCAGGCGACGGTCCCGTGTGCTTGCGGGCCAGGACAGTGAGTTCTACATGGTCAACCGGGCGGAGCGGGCCATCGAACGGAGCGACGTGTGTCTGCTGCTGATCGACGTGGTGCAGGGCATCGCCGACCAGGACCTCAAGCTGGCCGAGAAGATCGTCGAGGCCGGTAAGGCTTGCCTAGTGCTCTGCAACAAGTGGGACGCCGTCGACAAGGACGACAAGACCTATGACAAAGCCGTCGACTACATCCGCACCGTCCTCTACCCACTGAGATGGAGCGCTATTGAGTTCATCTCGGCCAAGACGGGCCAGAGGGTGGCGCGTATTCTCGACATGGTGGACGAGGCCGTCGAGCAGCACCGGCGTCGCATCCCGACCAGCCTGCTGAACGAGGTGCTGAGGGAGACAGTGGGCATCAATCCGCCGCCAGTGGTGGGCGGGAGGCAGGCCAAGCTCTACTACATCCACCAGGCGTCCACACGGCCTCCCACATTCATCGTCTTCTGCAACCAGCTATCGTCCGGCCAGGCCCTCTTGTCCGACAGCTACAAGCGGTACCTCGACAGGAAATTCCGCGAGGCGCTGGGCTTCAAGGGCACGTAAGCCAACCACTACACTAACAGCCTTTTCTTCTCCCTGTCCCTCTCTGAGAGCGTGGGGGTGTGTCGACACGTGTGTATGTGTGTGTTTGTGTGCTGTGTGCTGTATTTGGTGTCTGCAGGCCCATCCGTTGGATCTTTCGTGAGAAGAGATTGCGTCAGATGGTGCAGCAAGGCAGGAAACGAAGGCGGGCCGTCGTGAGGCGCTGATGGATTCATAGGATGGATGGATGGATGGATGGCGTTCTCCTAGTACTCTCTCTAGGACCGACAGCTGTGTTCGTATGTTCGTGTTATCGTGATGTAGATCAAACAAACCGGCCAGTCTGACCAGTGTCGGTCATTGTCACTCAATCCGCACAACCAGAACGGTCAAAAACCATACATACACACAGACACACATACGTTCAGTCGTCCAGACATTCAGCCAGGCAGCCATCCCCCCTCCCCCCTCCCTCTCCCACCACCGACCCACCCACTTACTCAGTCACTCCCTACTGCACTCCACCCGATCCTTCAAACTTGGCACATCCATCGCATGAAGCACCGGGTGCCTGTCTGTCTGTATGCAGTAGGGATGCTTGTGTGTGTATGGATGTGTGTGTGTGTGTGTGTATTCCTGGAGTGCATGCACGTGTGAGTGCGTCTATCACCACTCAGATTCTGATGAGGCGGCGCCCGTATCATTGTCTCGCCTCCCCCGGCGCATAGGCACCGGTGTGTGGCCAGCGTCCTGCAGCCGACGGTCGCCAGGTCGCTCCGACGGCCGACGGTCCCAATCGCCCGCGTGGCGATTGCCCCAACCGTCGAGTCGGCCCGCCTGGCGATGGCCGACGCGTTCGCCAGGCGGGGCGACGCGTCGCCCCGGCCGGCGGTCCACCTCATCCTCGGGGAAGAGGTCCCTCTCCCTCCTGTTGTCGCGTCGCCTGTCGTCCATGCCCCGTGTTGATGGCCGCCTCTCCTCCATGCGTGTGGGTGGCCTCTGGCGGGGTGGTGGGGAGGGAGGGCTGCCCCAATCATCCTCGTCATCGTCATCGCCCCACCCAGGGGGAGAGGGACGGCGACGCTCAACGGGAGGGACAACGGCGGGGGAGTAGGCGCGCGGGACGTCGGGCGGGCCCCAGTCGTCGTCATCATCATCATCATGGCGGGGAGGCGGGCCTCTGTGATGAATGGAAGAGGGGTTCGGTCGGTCGCCAACCTCATGCCACTGGAAGAGGCGGCTGTCGCGGGTGTCACGGGTGTCACGGGTCTCTTGCTGGCCACGCAGACGGGTGATGTAGAGCATGTGCCGGCGCTGCAGGCCGTGGCGCCGGTCGGCTTGGCCGTCCCTGCGAGCGGACTGGCGTCGCGATCGGCGCTGGGCACGGCGCTCAATCACGGCCTCTAAGTGAGCCGGGTCGAAGTTGGGATGGTCTGAGAGACACAATACACGAGCTGTGTGGTGGACGGATACATCTCTCTTTCGCTCTCTCTCTCTCTCTCTCTGTGTGTGTGTGTGTGTGTGATGGTGACCTACCTGGGTCTATGTCAGATGGGTCAGGTCCTGAGACGACGCCGTCCGCGTCATCCTCCTCCTCCTCATAGTCGTAGGCTTCCACATTCAGCCCCAGCCGACGCATCAACGACTCCGAAGGGAACTGCACACCACACGGGCATCCATCGATTGCACATTGCGCCAATGGACGGACGTGCATATGATCCTTCCCTCACTCACCCCTTCCAGTAGGTCGCGGAAGTTGGCCATGTCGTTCGCTGGCATAAAGATCTCTTCCTGCTGCATCATGCGACGACGGGCCAGACGGTTGGCATGCTCCACAACTGACCGATGCCGACACACCCAACACACCACACCCCACACCCCACACACACATTGACACGCGGAGCGAACGAGAGAGGGCAGTCGTCCTGTGTGTGTGTTGTGAGTGAATATTGTGCGTGCGTCAGCTGACTGACTGACCTGGGTCGATCTGCTCCTCTGGCGGGACCTCTCTGCCGTTCCGTTCGTGCCGGTATACGCACCGCCGGCCGTATCGACAGGTGCCGGTGCGCTTGAAGTCGGGGCAGAGGATCTTCTTCTTGGACGCCAGGTGCTTCTCAACCAAACGCCGCTTACGATCCTCACCCCTGACAACATATAATGTGAGTGACAACACGCCGGGTGCTGTGCTGTGTTGTCCGCTGGATTGTGTGAAAGCTTACACGATGCATCGCGTCACCGGTACGATGAAGCCGTTGTGCGTCCTGCAGACGGGGCAGGAGAACGCCAGTGGGGCCTCGCCCTCCTCATCGACGTGAGCGGAGTCGACGTCACTCTTACGACGCCACTGACACGACAACCGACACACCACACCACACCGACACATGAGCAGAAGAATGAGTGAAAGTGGGTGGAGGGGGTTGTGCTGCGTACGGTGAAGATGCAGTCCATGCAGAAGAAGTGTCCACAAATGGGCAGGAGGGCCAGCCGCGGCTCAAAGGTCGCCAGCTTCTCCATGCAAATCACACAAGTCATCTCGCCACTCAACGCTTTGTCCGCCTCCAGCATCTGCAGCCCACAGAATGAAGACAATCCTGTCTGTCGATATGCCGCTTCCTCGTTCTCTCCCTCTAACTAAAGCCACCCACCTGGTATTCCCGGCATTGTTGCAGGTGCTTCATGACCGCCTCGTTCACTGCGCCATCCGGCGGTGATCCATCGTCCGAGTCCACCGACATCACCTCATCGCCACACAACGGACACTTGCCCTCGGCCGTCACGTGGCTGTCGGGACACTCAACACCTGCACCACACACACAACCACAACCAGCCACCGGTCGCGAGCAAGCAACCAAGCAAGCATTTCTACGTACCTTTGGAGCAAGTGCCGGCCTGGAAGAAGCGGCACACACGCTCATCGTCCGGCCCCCCTGGCGGCGATGCAGCAGACGAAGGGCTAGGGTCAGCAGACGAAGTCGATGGCTCGTCGTGGCGGCCCGATAGCCGCTGGCGGCCCTCCAGCGGGTCGAACAGCATGAGGGGGTGGATGTCGGACGACACGGTAGGCGCCGGGACACTCGGTGGCTGGGGCTGGGGTGGGTCACGGCGGTCGACGAAGGCCATGGCCAGTTCCTGCAGCCCGCTCCTGAACCCTTCGTGAAGCCCTCTGAGTGCTGCTGCTGCCGGAACCGGGTTCCGGCGACGCTCGTGGTGGGCCGGTGTGTGTTGGCGGCGGTAGGGTGGTGAGCCATCACTATCATAGTCACCATCCCAATCCCCGCCCCTTCCCGGACGACCGCCCCGGGCCCTCCCGCGATTTCGCCCGAAGACCTCCATCCCCCCCGCCACAAGGTCCATTCGCCTTTGCGGCGGGTCGGGCCTCGCCCTTCCCCGGGGTGGTGTGGGTGGCCGAGGCGCACCCCACCCACTGGGCTCCGGTGACCAGTCCTCCTCCTGCCTCGAGATGTCTGGATAGGGACTGTCTGCACGCGGACGGCGCGCTCCCGTCGATGGACGCGAATGCCGCCCTCTTACATCCCCCCCCACGTCGGCATCCCGAACAGACGTGGGACCGGTCCTCGGCACAGAGGGGGCCCGCCAGTCGTCTCGGTCGGCCGATGCACGCGACTGCTGGTGCCGCCTAAGGTTCCTCTGGTAGCTTGGCTGCGGGCGCCTGGAGGAGCTCGAGCCCGAGTCGTCCCAGTCATGGCGGCCCCTCACCGTGCGATGCGGGTCGTCAAAATAAGGCCCTCTGGGACCCATGTACGGGTCGTCATTGCGGGGGCGAGGATGGGGTGTCATCGCACGGTAGTACTGGCGCTGAGGGAGCGGGGGCTCGTGTGCGGCGGTGCCCCTGTCGCGTCGATCATAGAAACGAGGGTCACCGTCTGGCCTTCGCACGGCGGACCTGCCCAGACCGTCGCCCTCTCCCCTCCCACCGTCTCCCCCCACCGACTGGCCCGGGTGATCTCGTCGCCAGTGCCTCTCCTCGCCATCTGTGCGACGATCGCTGCCCGCAGATTGCACCGACTGATGGACTGGGGGAGCGGGTGGGGGAGGTGGGGGTGGGGGCGGGGCTGAGGGTGTTGGTGTTGGCCTCTCCTGCATCGGTGCGACGCTGCGCTCCCCAGGCCGGGGCAAGATGACAGGCGGAGGGAAGGCCGAATCGGGGAAGGTCGAATCGCCCACAGGCCGAAGCCTGACAGGGCTCTCGTTGACAGGCCGAAGCCTGACAGGGCTCTCGTTGATGCCGCTGCCGCTGGCCCCGACACCTCCAGGCGCTGCTGTGGCCGGACGCTCCTGCTGAGGCACTCCACTGCCTTGTGTGTGATGGGCGAGGGGAGGGGGAGGGGGGCCGTGACGGACAGGAGGGCGACGCGCGTGCGAGTGGCCGTGATGAGGTACAGGCCAGTACTCACGCCGGTCGTTGTGGCGACGGCCACCGCCCCTGCCGCCCCGCCCACCGCCTCTGCCGTGTCGTGAACCACCGTGGCGACGGTTTTGCCGCTGGTGCTGGTCCTGGTCCTGATGGTGTGGAGGTGGCTCCAAAGGTCGGCCATGCGGCTCCCCTGGTCCATTCACGGGAGCGTCCTGGTTGTTGGTGGGCGAGGGCTGTGCCGGACGGCTCGATGAGTCTCGAACATCCCAGACATCCGACCCCCGCGGGCCGGGATGTCTGAACGGGCACTCATGTCCACGCCTGACAGAAAGACCAACACAACAGACAGCGACACCACCGCCAGCATTCTCTCTCATGCCGCTGGCTCACGTTCCTCTCTCTGTTCCTGTCTGTCTGTGTCGACTTGCCTGCAGCCGAGGCCAGTGGCTGGTTTGAAGTAATAACACACCCTGTCTTCCTTCCAACGAGACATGGGGGTACGATGGGAGGCGTCTCGGCGCACTTATGCCATCTGCTGCCCCGCTGCACCACAGAAACGATGAGAGGGTCGCCCTGCACGCCGTACTCCTGCTCCTGCTGCTTGCGGGCGACCTGAACCGACGCACGCACAAACGGACGGAATGGCCTCTTTTCAGTTGTCGAGTGGTCGTGCTGCCCTCCCTGGCACCCCTACCTGCTGCTCACGTATCTCCTCCTATCTTCTGCTGCGCGCAACAGCGGCTGAAGGACCGAGCGATTGTTGCCGGTCTGCTAACCAACCACAGCACCCACCGTGGGTGGTGAATTCACTCCAACAACAGCCCAGAGGAAAAAGGCGCAGTCAGCTCTTCTCCCCAAGCTCGCAATGGGAATCGCGACTCTGTCTTCCCTAAACCCCCCAAAGCGTAGGTGCCTCCTAACGCAGCTCCCACGCCTGTCAAGCAGCTTGGAACGTCAGTCGCGCAACATGACGCAAAACGCCGAGGCTGATTTCGCCGATGGAAACGCCCGGATGCAGGTACGTGACGCACACAGCAGAGGAGGCACACAGGGCACGCCAGCGGTGCGATGGAAGCCACAGGAAGGCAGAGAGCTGCAGGGGAGGGAGGCAGAGTGGGGGGAAGGGGTGCGATCGACTGGCTGCATGTGGGAGAGAGATGGCTGCTGCGGCAGATCTAGCGCAGCGAGGAGGCTGTGTGTGTGCACATGGGGCGTGTCTGAGCAGCCGGATACGACAGGACAGATTGTGTGTGGCGCGGCGCAGACTTGTTCGCAGAGACACGTGTTCCCTTTCTGCCTGTCTGTCTGTCTGGACAGATATCGGGTTCCAAGAGTCGCAATTTCTACCTGCGTGTGGCCCGTCGCTTCTTCGGCGGCTCCAAGGAGCGGCCTGCGGTGGACGAGCTGCTCGTGACGGCGCTGGGAACCGCCATGAACAGCGCAGTCGCCATCTCAGACTCGCTCGTCAAAAACCAGGTGAGCAACAAAGACGCACAGGCCAACCAGCAGACCAGCAGGGAGGCAGGCGTGCCGCGGCTGACGTGTGTGGTTTGTCTGCTGTGCGTATTGGGTACGGTGCGTATATATGTCAGGTTGCGACGGTGGTCAACATCGAGACCTCCTACTACAAGAGCGAAGACGAGAGCCGCGGTAAGTAAGAGAGCAACCAACCAACCACAAAGCACAGCACACAACAGCTGGCCAGTGGTGGCTGACGTGCCTGACGTGTGTCGTTCGTGTGTGTGTGTTGTTTGTAGGCACTTCTCGTTCCATTCCGAAGCTGAGCATCAAGATGAAGAAGAACCCCGACTGGAAGTACGAGCCGGAGGACGAGAAGGAGGGCGAGCACGACGACACACACGAGGAACACGACGAAGCCGAAGAGGCACACGAGGAGGAGGAATAAATGAATGCATCGACCCATCGACCACACAACACACATCACACGACCGACCGACCGACCGACACACATCGGCAGGGCGGACGGGCGGGCGGGCGGGAGAATGGGGGCGGGCAACGGGAGGGAGTGGTGTAGTCCTATCAATATATAACTAAATGGCCGGCCGACCGAGTGGCCGGCAGCCGCAACACGCAGCACAGCTGACCTGTGCTGCGTGTGTAAGTGGGTGCCTGGCTGGCTGGCTGGCTGGTTGGTTGGGTCGTGGGTATGATATGTACTTGTGTTGTATGTACTTGCCTGACTGCCTTGCCTAGGTACCATTATAACCCTGACTGACTCACTGACTGACTGCCTGTCTGATTGTGTGTGTGTGTGTGAATCTCTGTAAACCCTTTCATTCATGATGTAGCACTCACGGAGAGGGAGGGAGGGAGGGCAAAAAGACAGACAGACAGATCCCTCACACCATGTTTGGCTGGGCCGGCCACGCCACGTCATGCAGTCACGCACACACGCGCGCGAGGGACAGCACGATTGGGCAGTCGACAGAGCAGATGCGGAGGTGTGTTTTCACTTTCTGTGCCTGCTTTGTCCACCAACCGGTCGATGTGTCCTTCGCTCGTTCTTTTTGCCCATTTGCTGGATCATTTCCTTCGTCACCGACTAAGGAAGACAGACACGTACGCAGGCAGCCGGTCCGGCCATTGTGGGGTGGGCTGAATGGGGTAGGGCGCGGTGTTGGTGTTTGTTTGTAATGTGTATCCTCTCCTGGCTGATGCATGGTGTACAGCAACACTTACTTCTCCCCGGCTGACAGACAGACAGACACATCGACCATCACAGCACTCGCTCTCGGGCCACGTTCGTTTGATTTGTCGCGCGTGTGCATCTGTGTGTGTTGTGTGTGTGTGGTGGCCGGCGGTTTGGTGGATGTTGCTCGCAACAGACAAGTACCATGATGCGTGTGTGTGTGTATGTAAGTTGTCATTTATTAGTCGTTCTATAAAGGGCTGCTAATGGATATAAGGGGAGGGAGGGAGGGAGGGAGGGAGGGAGGGAGCCGGATGGGGGGGTGGGTGGGTGGGGAGGGCACGGAGGCACACTCTTATGTACTCATGGCACCTAAGACCATCGGACCATCGCATTCGCACTCGCCCTGACCACACCACACCACTCACTGGGGTGGCATTTAATTCACGCGGGGACCTCTCGTCTGCCTGCCTGCCTGCCTGCCTGCCTGCCCCTCTCTCTCTCTCTCTCTGTCGCGCTTCCACTCCTGTCTGTCTGCCGCCACGCTCTGTCGTCCTCCCTGTCTACTCACACACCACTCGCCAGACAGCCAGACAGATGGATGGGTGTACGTGTTTGCTATGGCCGCTGTATTTCCTTAGTTCATGCTTGGTGCGGTGTGCGTCGTGTGTGGCGTGTGTGGTGCCGGGCAAGCTGGACAGCCCCGGTGTAATCAAATCATGTGGAATGGATGGATGGATGGATTGCTGCTTAGACAGATGGACAGACAGTTATAGATGGATGGATGGAGTGAGGCTTGACGACTCTATCACACGCGTGCGTGTCTGCATGACTGCTTAAACAAAGGTGCGTTTGTTGACTTGACAACACCGACGGCCTCCCCGTCCCGAACTGCCAATTTACAAAAGACGAGAGGACCAAATGCTTTCGCAGCCAGCCGCTGCTGCTGCTGCTGCGGCCGCAGCGTCGCCATCGCCATCTGTGGGTAGTGCCGAGGAGCCCCTGCAGCAGCGTGACGCCCCTCTGGGCGTGAGCAACGAGGCGAAGGCCATCCACGATTCGGTTGACAAGTTGATGAAGCACATGGGCCAGAAGGTAGATCTGGCGGCGCAGCGGCGGATGCTGGGGAGGCTGGACATGCAGGAGAGCAAGACGGTCCTCACAGCCTTCAGCAGCATCAAGAAACACTTCATCAACAGAGGAAAGGTGGATCAGATGGATGGGTGGATGGATGGATGTGCTGTGTTCTGTCGTGTGTGGTATGTGTGTCAGAATAGCGTGGATGCGCTGTTGGTTGAGAGCAAGTTGGACGAGAAGCTGACCACCGCCCACATGGCGCTCAAGAGCTACCAGGAGCAAGAGCACCTGAACGACCACGAGGGCGTGCCCATGTAAGCTTATGGCCAGGCAAGCACGAGGGAGGCCTCTGTGTGTACCCATCTTCAATGGACGGATGGATGGATGGATGGATGGTCCACCATGCAGTTCGATGCAGGTTGACGAGGAGTGTGTGTTGCGGTCGGCTGACTCGAGCGACCCTCGTGAGTTGCTCAAGCTGGTGGAGCTGCAGGCCTACGTCACGCAGCTCAACACACTCAAGCAACAAAACAAACAGGTGGGTGGGCTTAGGTGGCACAACGTACGTGTCAGCTCTCTGGGCAATGCACAGGCGCACACGAGTCTATATGGTGTGTGTGTGTTGTGGTGTATGTGTGTCAGTTGTCGGATCAGGTAGCCGAGGCCACGGCGGCCCTCGACGTCTGCACCAAAGAGGCACAGTGAGCTAGGGATCACAGGACCGAATGACACACACACATCCATCCATCCATCCGCTGCAAGAGTATCCATCCCTTGGCACCGCACCTGTGTGTGTGTCCAGAGACGTAGCCAACATGTACGCGCAGGCGGAACAGAAGATCCTGCAGGTAGGCCAACACAACACATCAAAGCAATCAATACGCATGCGCCAAACATGCCTCTGCCCATTCTCTCTCTCCATGTGTGTGTTGTGGTCGCAGGAGTTGTCATCGAGTTGTATGAGCGACGTGCTGGCCACTCCGGCCGCGGCCGCACAAGACATTAGCGACCGCCAGCAGTGACGCGGATGTGATCGTGTAGCTAGTGGACAGAGAGGGGGAAGAGGGGCTTGTCTGTCTGGCGTGTGGACGGTGGGGTGGTTTGACTCTGAATGGTCCGAGGAGGGGTGTGTGGGTGTGGGTGTGTACGTGAATGTGCGTGTGGGCGTAGAGGAATGAACGAAGGACACACAGTGCAAAGAGAGAGTGAAGGCGCACATGACACCGATTTTGTCTGAACCGAACCAGCCAAGAGTCCCGTAACAATAGTCCACCACGCATCCCCCACCCACATGCATATGCAGCCACCCCTCCCTCACCTCACTCACCCGCCCTGCAGAAGAGACCACTGAAAAAGACCACGTCCGTCAACCAGCCACTTGGATATCAATCATATCGCCCCTCCATGCTTTCCCTTTCCCTCACTCCCTCCCTCCCTCCCTCCCTCGCCGTGCCAGAGCAGAAAAGTCTCTTTGAGACCGCCATCTCCTTTCCCTCTCCCACTCCTTCCCGCCCTCCGCTCTGCCTGCCTGTCTGTCTGTCTGTACAAAAGTCAAATCTTCCAAATTACAACATTCATTGTATTAGCATTACATCAGCTCAGACAAAACCCACCCGGATACACACACACACACGAACACACACACGACACGGACAGGCAGATAGACACGCAAAACCCTTGTTTGTTGCGTGGCGTGGATGCCTGGATGGATGGCTGGATGCATCTACTGTTACCCCTGTACACCCGGCTGCCCGCCCTCGGTGGCTACCTTCTTTCCCTACCCACCAGAAAGTGCGCCATCTCCCTTCACGGACGCCTCTCGCTCGGCAATCCGCTTCATCCGTCTGACGTAGCGCTCGATCCTCTTGTCGTATCTTGCCAGCCGGGCGTCAACCCGTCGCTGCGCGGCGACAGCTGATGGCCTCCGTGTGGGCGAGAGGGATGGTGAAGTGGGCACGTTGACGGTGGATGCGGCGGGCGACTGGTCTTGTGTGGGTGTGCAGGTGGGGGAGCGGGTGGACATGGAGGAGAGGGAGTCCTTGGGGGCCATCTCCATCTTGATGCCCTCCACCTTGGCCATCTTGCTCTTGAGGAAGTCGCCGGTGTCCGCCATGTCAAGGGTCTCGATGCCCAGGACCTTCGCCCCACAGAACCGAAAAGCCGACGCCACGACAGTTTCATTGTGCCCATACACCTGCACACCAGACGCCGCCATGTCAACCAGCGGTGGATGGTGTGTTCCTGGCCTGCTCTCACTCACCCTCATGCCAGCTTTTGGTCCGCCCGTGGTGCGGCAGATGACGACTTTCTTGTCCCTGAGCAGGCCCTGCGAGCCGTACGCCCTGAGGAAGCCGCGTAGGCCGGGGATGAACTGGCAGATGTTGAGGGTGAAGACGAGGATGGGGTGCAGGGGGAGGTTCTTGTAGGCAAACCCCGCCGTCATGACCTGGTCCAGGAACGCCTTGAGCGTCGCTGGCACGTCGTACCAAAACACGGGATGCACCAAGATCTGACACACACAAGACGGACGGGTCAAGAGGGTAGGCTGGTTGGGCAACCAAGGTTCCAGTGTTCTAGTGTGTGGTTGCCCACCCACGCACCACGAATCTGGCCTTGTGGAGCTCCTCCTGCAGCCACTTGATCTCGCCCGAAGGCTCCCCCTTGCCGTATTTCGAGTAGCGGTACATCCACTCGTCCCTGAGGCCCGTCAGGCCCATCCTGCTGAGGTCCACCCGGGTGAATGGTATGCCCTGCGCCGCCAGCAGCTCCTCCCACTTGGCTGCCGTGCGGCTCGACAGCGATGTGACATTGGGCGCCGGGTGCGCCACCACAATCAGGGCGTTGTCTGGCGTACCAGACTCACGATAAAGCGGGTACCTGCTCAAGCAAGACACCCACGTCAATCAATGGGAGAGATGCAATGCCATCGATTCGATGGCGGATGTGGCCCAGTGTGTGCAGACAGACAGGTTGCCAACCTCCGTTTTGCGTTGAGGTTCTGCAGCCATTGTTTGTGCCATGTCGGGAAGAGCGTCGCCAGAAGGTCACTGAGGAGCAGGGTCAGGACGAGCCAAAGGGACTCGAAGAGTAGTTCCAGAGACCAAAACATGATCGGCCGTGATGTCGGTGCGGGAGGCAGCGGCTGACGTTCCAAGCTGCTTGACAGGCGTGGGAGGTTGGTTGGTTGGTTAGTGTGTTTAACGAGACTCGTGTCTGTAACCCCGGAGGGATCCTCTTGTCTCACGCACTAAACTAGCAGCATGTACATGCAAAGCATGCACACGGCCTGTCTACCCCTCCCTGCACTGGCACCGGCGGACAAACAGATGGCAGCAGAGAGCACTGGCTGCCTTGTAGAACGTTGACAAACACCGATTCCGGCTACATGCACAAGAACGGGCGCTGTCGCCCAGCAAGAGCCATGGCAAGTGTACAGAAGCCAGAAGGGGGAAGTGGAAAAATGAGCGCTCTCTGAGCCACCAAAGCAACGATCAGCCAATCACATGAATACACCACCATATACACACGGGACCCATACGGAAGGAAGACAGCAAGATAGCAGAGGGAGAGAGAAGGAAATAGCTAGGCAGGCCATGAGGCCCTGCAACATATGATAGACGATACCTAAGGTGCACTCCATCCCTTCACACAGCACTGAGTATGATGCCACAGTGGCGCCTGTCTACTTGTACGGTAGTGAGCTGTGGGCGGGCACTAACTGTGATGCAGTACGGTGTGATCTAAGTCGATAGGCACTTGGCAGACACATGCACAGGAAGTCCTGGCTAGGCTGGCAGAGGAAGACAGAAGGCAGCTAAAGGGGAGAGCCCCGCCGCGGTAATGAGCAAACAGACAGACATGCGGCACTGGCTGAAATGGCATGAGTATGGTCGCAACAGAGAGGCACGCCGAAGTCTAACCACACGTGCAACCATGCACACGCAAAAGAAAAGACATCATGGCGGGCAACGACACGTGATAGGCTACCGCATAGAAGAGACCACACCAATGACAAGACATCACCAGCCGCTTCACCCCTACCACCAAGCACTTAAACGAAGAGAACATGAAAGGCAGGGGGAAGGCAGGGGAAGCAAGCTAGACAGACAGAGGCAAGAAGGGTCCCACAGACGGACAGAGGCAGCACCATGAATGACAGGAGTCTGGTCTCAATGCATAGAGGCACGCCGAAGTATAACCACACGCGTAATCATATGCACGCAAAAGAAAAGACATGGCGGCGTGCGACCTCACGTGATAGTGTGGCGACGCTCGTGGCCTGTATGATCACAGACCACTGGGCCGCTCACAGAATGCCTGACAGCAGCAGAGACACATCTAGAGAGACGTATCAGATTGGTCTGTATGCGTGCCCTCACTGTGTGTCGAGACGTTGATGTGTATGTATGTGTCGGACACATGCATGCTGATTGATGAACGGTTCGTCGTTTGTGATGGACAAGTTGATGGTTGCGCATGAAGCAGTCATCGATTGATCGATCCGTTCATTGCAAGTTCGCATTGCATACACACACGCGTCTACGTTTGTGTGTGTGTCTGTTGGTTACTCATCCGCTACTCAGTGACAAGAAGCTATGCATGGAGCGCTACAAGTTGCTCTATTGCTGGTGCTTAGCTGGCTGGCTGGAAGAAAAATCGCCAGCATCGATCGATGTGGTTAGTGGTAAGCTCTCTTTGTGACCCACCCACCCACACGAACACGAAAATCAACATGTAACTGCGATGACGGCATTCAAACGCCGATTCAAAGCACAGACAGCTGAGGCTGGTCGCCTCGCATGCGTACGTATATGTATGTATGTACGTATATGTATGCAGACGTATGCAAGTGTGCAAATAGGTATGCAAGCATGTATGTGGCGACATGCATTCATGCATCCCTCTTCCCGCGTGTGTACGCATACCATGACCAGGACCTTGCCTGGGGGATGGTGTGTTGATGAGCTCAGTGAGTCGATGAAGAGAACTAGTAGCTGCGGGGAAAGCCGTCGAAGTCGTCACTGAATAGAGACGTAACGATGAATGATAGATCAGTGATCGCCAATGTGTCGTGCATGCAAGGATTGACCTGCGTGGGGGTGCGCTGCGTTCGCGTCCGCCATCGTAAGGTCGGCTGTATGAGTAGCCGCGGGCTCGGAAGCCGCCGCGGCCGCGGAACGGGCCTGACGGGAAGTGGCTGGGCATGGGGGGAGGCAGCACCGTCTGGAGCGAGTGTGGGGCGGTCTCGCGCTGCGCCTGTTTGGTGTCGGTGGTCTTGTTGCCACCGTTCTTGCCGTCCTTGCCCTCGCCCTTGCCCTTGTTAGCACCCGACTCTGACAGTCATACGGCAGAGCACGAGAAGAATGATTCATGCATACACGGATGTGTGTGTGTGAGTGCCTTACCGAGCTTCTCGATGGTCGATTTCATGAGGTTGACCATCCGCTTTTTAATGTTATTGTTAAACAGACCTTTCTGCATGCCCACGTTGATGCTGCTGAGCACGTGCAGGAAGCGCCAGGCGTGCTTCTCTTCGAAGGCGACGCGAATGGGATCGGTCGGCTTGCGCAGCAGCAGCTCGCCGTAGCTGTTGATGCTCTTGTGGGCGTCAAGGGCGATGCTGTAGACGTGGCTGCCGAGGATGCTTGTAAGGTCGCCCATGTGCTCGACTGGCATGTTGGCCGACTCTGAAACAGACACACACAGTGAGTGTGTCTGTGTCATGCTCTTGTGTGAGTGATGGAGCCTCGTCCGTGTTGTTCCCCTGCTCACCTAAGTCATTGACCATTCTGAACCAACAGCCAGGCTGCCCAATGTGGATGGCCTTTTCCACTGCAAACACATACAGATCAAAGAGGAATGACTTGATGTACATCCATCCATGCAGATGTGCGTGGGTGGGTGGGATGCTTACGATCTGGGTGCTCGATAAGGATGGACTTGAACTCCTTCTCGATCCACTCGTTGGGCAGTGGCGTGAAGGCGGCGAACCTGTTGCTCCTCTGCTTGGATGGGATGAGCCCCGGGTAGCGGCTGCTCACCTGAGCGAGGTACTCGCTCGCCAGCGTCAGCTGCGTCTTGCTCGTGATGTGGTGTTGGCTTTTGAAGAACGAAACTGCATACACACGTGCAAGCAGACGGACACGACAATAATGACAGTGTGCGTATGCGCGTGCTGTGTATTGGTGCGTACTGGAGTCCTTGATGGTGCGATGGTAGGCCGCACTGAGAGGGTCCTAGTCGGCGTGGAAAATCTCGTTCTTGAAGTCCACCACGAATGCGTCGCTGTGGAAGACGAGCTGTTCTCCGGTTGACAAACCTGACCAACACACACAGCAGCCATCACAGTGTGCGTGTGGTGGTGGTGCTGCTGGTGGTGTATGTATGTGTGCGCGTTGTACCTCAGTCCGTCTTGAGGTACGCTGCCGATCGGCAGAGCCCTAAGGGTGAGCATGAAAGCCCATCCCACACAAGCACGCGGTAGGCCGGATAAGCTTGATTCGCTCTGAGCTGGCTGGCGCCGGCCATCTGGTAGTGATATCTCTGGTAGCTCTTGAACTTGTTGTCGAGCAGGACCGCGAACCAGCGGCAGAAGGCCTCCTTTCCTTCCCACTGCTCGTGGCCATTGAGTCGCTCGTCGAGGATCACCACGTTGCACGCGTAGTTGCCCTTGATGGGTTGCTCGACGCCCCACTGATAGGCACCGATCCACAAGCGGTTGAAGGTGTGCTCGTCGAAGACAGTGGCTGAATGGCTGCGGATGGCGTGGTAAGCCGCGGCCGTCTGTTTCTCAATGTTGAGCTTGTAAAGCTTCACAAACTCTTGGATGCGAGAAGCCGATGGATTGACCGTCTCCATGAAATCCACGAACTTCACGTATACCTCTGACGAACACACAACACAGGCAGAGAATGAGTTGTGTGTTGTTGATCTGTGTGCCGTGATGCGTCGCATACCAGCAGCGGGCATGGCGCTTTCCATGAGCGTCTCGAGGTTGCTCTTGTCTTGAGCACTCGATGACGCCGATGCGAGTGCAGTTTCTGATGCACACACAGCATCAGAATGAGAGAGAGATGTGTGAATGTCTTCGCGTGTGTGCGAGGATGCTCACCAATCTGCATGCCGCTGGATGAGTTGCCGTCTTTCAACGCACCTGCTACAGCCGCAGCGCCTTGAATGTTGCCGCTCGGGGGCGAGTCAGCAGCCACACCACCCGCGCGGATACATATCCATGGGTGATGTATGCGCATGGTATGAGTGCCATGTGCCTGACCTAGTCCGCCTTGTCGTTCGGTGGGGACAGCAGATTGATCGGCGCAGGAGGCGCCGGCAAAGGCGATTTCATGCCGCCATTGTCATCGTCAACAACCTCGATGTCCATAGCACCTGAGGTGATAAAACACACACACAGAGGACGGGAGTGCTTTGTGTCTGTCATGAAAGAGTGCGTGCACATATTGCTGACGCATCCTTGATGGTGGATAGGGCATTGATCTTGTCGCTGTCCATCTTGGTATCTTTGGCCTGGCCGAAGAGAGCACTCATTTTGCCTGATCAGACAGAGCAAACACACAGAGTGGTGAAAGTCACACGATCAATCGATGCTCGCGGGATGCAAGTAATCGTTGCTGACGAGGATGATCTCACCTTTGGAGAGCTTGTCCTTGCCCTTGTCGTTCTTGCGCTCCTTGCATTTGATAGGCGGGATGCGAGGGCGACGCTGATTCTCGGGTGACGACGGATTTCCTGCCTCACTCAGAGACTGCATGTAATGGGGGATGGGAATTGGCGTTCTTTTGGCTGTGTGGCGCACGCTGTTTGCTTACGTAATGGGTGGATGTGAGCCCTTGATTCGTTCTCCTGCCAATGAGAGCCCATGCTTGTAAAGACAGAGCCAGCCATCTGACTTGGGGCTCGGGGAGACGTCGATTTTTACAGTGCAGAAACGTACTGACTGATGTGGGTTGATGGAAGGCAGTGAGATCCACATGTTGATGGATTTTGTTTCGGTCGATTGCACCTGCACGAAGAGAAAGAGGCTCAGAGAGAGAACATCCACAGAGGAAAGAATGAGGGAGAATGACGGAGTGGGGTGGCGAAGTGATGTGATTCGTGGATGTATGTGATGTCCGTAGTAGCCCTGAGCCTCCTGAGTGCGTTTCTTCTCTTCTTGCAGTGTATTTCATGTGCAAGCTTTTACGAGCCGGTGTGAGCTAAGCTTGCAAAACCAGCACCGAACGGACAACTAACGACGTGCGTGCGCAGACTCGAAACAGCCTCCGTTTGAAAGGATACGTGTCGGCAGTGAAGATCTTTGATCAACGTGAGTGTTCGTAAGTCCCTCCTCCCCTCTCTGACGAAGTCGCAGATCTGCAGCCTTGCCCCTTCTCGCCAGCAGCCTCGACGTTCCAGGTATGAAGACACCGGTGCGTGCGTGTGTTGCGTGGTGATCAGGGGGTGGGGAGGGTGCTTGTCATGGAAGCGGGCAGCTCTGGCAGCACGGGAGACAGGCGAGTACTTCTCTCAGCGATGTGTCGTGCATCCACCTCCCCTCGTACGAGTCTTTCTTCCGGAAGAGCGAGCGCCCAGGCCGACGCCCATCGGCTGTTCCCTTGCCAACGCCGGGCGGCGGGCAGCTGCCTTGAGCGGGCCGGGACGAACTGGGTTTATGGCAGGCGGGCAGCCTGCAGCGAACTCGGATGGAAGAGAGTCCTCGGACGGGACTGATGGACTGTGATGGAGAGAGAGAGAGGGAGGGAGCGAGGAAGTGAGTGAGTGAGACGAGTCAGGTACGAGCAAGCCAGTGACACGTTTGATGGGTACATAGCTGTCAGTACAGAGAGAAAGCGAGGCAGCAAGACAGACAGATAGATAGACAGGCGCATGTAGACAGACAGGCAGGAAGGAGGCATTTCCTCACCATTTGGCTGAGGGCTTATACGGACCTTGTGCAGTTGATCGTCGACTAGACACAGGGCATGATGGATGGATGGTGTGTGTGGGCGAGAGGCCATGCACACTGATTTACGGATGAGAGTCGTTTTGTCATGGTGACCGACCGACTGACTGACGGGACCGGCCGCTGGGTGCGTGGCGTGCATGTGTGGATGGTCAGTGTGACTGTCTTCTCTTGTCGCCGTGCTTCTTGCGTGCGCCCGTCGACTGCCGTCCTGTGGGGGCCTTGCCGCGATCTGTGTCCCTTCCGCATGTCTGCGTGCTTCGATTGTCATGCCTGGCTCATGGTTGTCCTTGTGTTGTGTGTGTGGTGTGTTTCAGGTTGTCGAGTTCTCTCGTCAGCTTGGGCTCACCGGCCACATCGAGGCATCCATCAGGTGGGGCGGTCGCTCGTTTTTGTCTGTCTGTTGGTGTCAGGTTGCTCGTTTTGAGTGCCCGAGACCGATTGACTGATAGCAAGACTGTGTGGGCTTGTGCTCACCCAGTGTGATTGATTGACAAAGGCTCGTCGCGCCAGCGGCCTGCCATATTGTGATTGAGACCAACGAGGGCTCTTTGAGCTTATCGTTTATTGCGTGTCGGACTTATTCGTTCGTGCATGTTGGGCTGAAGGCCTTGCATGCTACCAGTCTTTGATCCACACGTCCATCGTTACCGTTTGCACGGTCAGTTCATTGCAGCAGCAGAAGCTGAGCAGCTCATAGCCGCTGCCCAGCAAGCACAACAGCAACAGCAGCAGCAACCACAGCCGCCTGCTGGTCCTGCTCCCGTAGCTGACGATCAGCCGATCGATCAGGATCAACCTGTCCAACAAGCACAAGCCGAGCAATTCTTCATCGGTGACTTGGGTGACGAGGCAGCCGAAGCCGACGTACCGTGGTTCGGAGAGATGAATCAACAGCAAGTTCAGGGTTTGGTCGATGCTGCCGTGCAGCAGTTGATTCACCAGCCTCAGGAGGAGGAGAGGCGCATCAAGAGACTTGTTGACATCACCGGCAAGTACAGTCCTGTCCAGGGGCGGGGCGCCACGATGGACAACTGGCAGAAGAAGTGGCAACAAGGTGTGTTGGCGGTCCAGGGGTTGCAGCCCCGCGACAAGTACTTTGCGTTGATGCGTGCGTTGGAAGGAGACGCGAACGGCGTGTTCTTCCAAGAGCAGGCCCGCATCCCCATCCCGGGGAACGCTCCCAACATTCAGAACTTGGCAGCGAACAACCCCTACTTCGACAATGTTGTCGATCGCGTCCTTGAGAAACTCATCGAGCAGTATGGCATCAGTGACTCGTTCGCTCTGGCTCAGGAGGCCATTGTGAAGGAGCCGAGACAGCTGCTGGAGAAGCACCCGAATGCCAGCATGCAGGAGTTGGTGTCGCTCCTCAAGAAGAGCATCGCAGCGGCTGAGCACCTGAACCAATACACAGAGAGACAGAAGGCTGATATGATTATCGGCCTACTGCCCGAGACCATGCAGCACATGGCAAAGCACTCATTGCAGGAGAGTCTTCGCCAGGCCCAGGGCTATGCCAGGGCTCAGAACCACAATGTGCCCAATCCTGACCAATTCTACAACATGGAAGCGGCTGAAAGGATGGTCGTTGACATGGAGCGTACTCATGGTGTCGTACCGGCCACCAGCGCCTCGTTG